CTATAATTTTTTGGCTCAAAAGTATTGGTTTAGGCACCATTTTGACATCGGTATCGTTTAAAAATAGCAATTTTGCACTGGTATCAGAAAAAAAAAAAAAAAAAAAAAAAACAAGACCCAACCCTAGTCTGGAGGTTATAATTATCAGAAGCATAGAATTTATTAGAATATTTTCCAAACAAAGCTGAGACAGTCCAGAGCAAACCCATCTGCATTCTCTCCCAGGACAAATCTGTGTTTTGCACAATCTTTATACAGTTTTTCTCCTTCTGTCTTTGAGTTTTAACATCTCATTTTAACTTTGACCATCTTTCTGTGTTTTCATTGACTGAGAGGTTCAGTATATCTTTAGGGGCTCATGTTATTATGGGCCGTATCCCCTGCAATGCAAACACTTCTTTTCACACCAGAGTTGACTTTCAATAGATGTCATCTCTTCTCAGTGTTTTTACATACAATGCCATGATAGTACATTATTTGACAATATGCCACTCACTGTCCTGAAAACCTCTCACAGATATAGCTTTATGCGTGTTTTACATACTCAATGTTTTTCTTATAAAATCATTCTCCAGCAACTCCTCACAATGGTGACCTCACACATTCCTCTACAGGACAACCATTCTACACACATCAACAGTTGTCATTTTCTTCACTGGATGCTTTATCTGTATCAGACTTGTTTAAAATAACTATAGATCAGCATATGATGGTTTTCACATGTCTGTCCCAGGGCTTCAGGGCCAGACAGTATCTCTGGGTGTTTATTGAAATCTTGAAGTAAAGATCTGACAGAAGCCTGGTGTCCTATTTACTAAAAACTTTAAAACAAACATACAGTTCCCTCAATCTGGAAGAGTTCTATCATTATTCCTGTCCAAAAAAGACCAGCTGTAAGGAGAATAATGACTATGGCAAGTAGCATGCACTTAAACTATTGATAAACAAGCAGATAGAGTGGGTGTGTCAAACTTAGTTCCTGAATAGCCACAGCCCTACACAGTTTAGTTTCAACCCGGCTTAAACACATTTGCGTGAAGTTGGCACCCATAAAAAGAAATAATTCCCAAATCTATGCCATTCGTTTGTGCTATGTTTCTTGCTCATTGTTGCTCAAATCACTCCAAATTAGCACAGTTAGGTTGTGCTTGAATTGTGCCAATAAAACAAGTGCTATATCTATTTTCCTTGTTTAGAATGAACCAAAAAAATTCAGGGGCCATGACGTCACTTTTCACCCCACTTCCAATAAATCACACAAAACTGGAGTGATTCATTTGTGATCTATTTGTGCAGGTTTAGACTGTTGAAATGCGCACCAAATATATTTTCCCTTAGAAAGAACAAATTCGTAACACTGATGTTACTGAACCCACCATAACTCCGAATTCAACCAAAATATTTTAATTCTTTGTCCTTTGTTTTGTGCAAGTAGAATTTTCCCTTTGGGTGCTTTGTTTTTTAGATAAGTGCACATGCGTGCGTGTGTGCATGCAAACTTTATAACAACATTGTGTGTGACTCATTGTTGCAGAAAGGCTTGAATTAACTCCACAGGGTTAATGAATCACTGTCTGAACCAACCAGTTTGAGCTCAGAAACAAAGTTTACTTTATTGTTTAGTGATGTTTACACTCAATGTGTTTCTCACTCATGAGACATGAATGTTTGTGTGAATTCATTAAACACCATCAGACAGAGGTCTACTGTCAAAAACAAACAGCAACTTGAGTAAAAAGCAGCAGTATTTCATGATAAATCAGAGACTTGTTGGAATTTTAATTGTGACTAATGGCCAGGTGTAGTTAAACAATTTTACTTGTGTATAGTAGACTTTAAACAGTAAATTTGAATCTCTCAGTATCTGCTGTACAGTATAATGATACTAACTTTAGTTTCTCCAGCTTGCATTGTTGGTTCATCAGTAAATCACTGAGGTTTTTCACTGCAGAGTCTCCTAGTTTATTCTCACTGAGGTTCAGTTCTCTCAGGTGTGATGGGTTTGATTTTAGAGCTGAAGTCACAGCAGAATAACTTTCATCCATCATCTCACAACTCCTTAACCTAAATTGGCAAAAAGAAAGAGAAAGAGCAGAAAACAAAATTGAAGATGTAAGAGAATAATTAATAATGGTTAAAAGCAAATAATACAACCAGAGGAACAGAAATCAGAAAATGTTAAGTCACAGTGAAAGTTCTTATGTTTCAAAGCTTCAGAATTCTCTCCACATGATCAAACCATCATTTTTATTCCACCAGATCACAGAATATAAAATAACTTTGCAGAAAAATATAATGTAAACGCAAACACACTGTGCATTAAGTGTCTTAATTTAAAATGTTGAAGGTTATTTTTAATGATTTTGATTCTTAAATGTGAATGTTTCTCACCTCAGTGTCTCCAGTTTACATCGTGAATCCTTCAGTACATCACATAAGTGATTCACTACTGTGTTATTTAATTGATTCTTACTCAGGTCCAGTTCTCTCAGGTGTGATGGGTTTGATTTCAGAGCTGAAGTCAGGATTTTACACTGTTTCTCTGTAAATCTGCAAACACACAGACTGAAGACAAAGAGAAAAGACAAAATGTCATGTGAAGCATATGAAAAATCCTGTAAAAAATAAGTGTGAAAAAGTTTAAAGGAAAATAATGTACTTTAATGTCATGTACAGGAAAAATAATTAAAATTTGTGGTTCACCCCCATAAAATAAAAATGCAACCTTATAAAAGTATTGTTAGTTTTTATCTTTGTCTGCACAGTAAATAAAAGAATTGACTGCCCAAACTAATTTTTTTAGTGACTGGTCACATCTAAATATTTTAGTCCAAATAAAATTCGGCAAACTGTTGTTTTTTTGTTAATTGTAGCAACAGCCTATTAACATTGGCTCAATGAGACACAATGTGATGAGCCAATTGAAAAACCATCAAGTTTGCCCAATCATGTAACTGGCCCAATTGAAAATTTTAAATTGTTGTAGCATGCTTTTTTTGTATAGAGAACCAGAAGTGCCCAAGAATCAAATTATAAATTTAATAATTAAAGCATAAAATGTATATAAATAAATCACAATTTAAAACATAGCTGCAAGCAGCAATTTAAGGGCCAAGCAGCCCAGTGGCCACATCATAAACCAGCACGGCAACAAGCTACAGAGCAACTGGAAAATTCTATAACTTTTTGGCAGCAAGGTCTGAGCCAAATGTTATGTTCCATGAGTGTCTCTTCAAGGTATTGTGTATTCATTTCCTCTCTCTCTCCTTCAATAAGGTTGTTATTTCTGATCAGGTGCAGTCAACCCTGCAAATTGGCTCTACTGATGGACTCTCTGTCCTGATTGGTCAACCAAAGGACTGGCTGGAGGAGATAAGACAGAGCTGGGATCGATTAGAGTGTGGTGGGTTGGAGCAAGGATCCCATTTGCGGGCTTTTAATTGTGGTTTTGTTCTTTTTGATGTGGTTAAATTGTTAATAATGTCTGTGGAGACTTTTATTCCTCTGGTGATAGGATTTGTTTAGCCATATCATACGAGTTAACACCTAATCTGTCTAAGATTATTTTCCTTATCTTTGTGGCAAAAAAGATTTATTTATTGTTTGTTTAATTTATTGTTAATTTATAGGAAGCTGTAGGGAGGTGGTTGCTATTTTCTTAGAAAAGGAGTGTATTGTTTTTTTGTATTTTGTTTTCTTTTATTTAATAGTTTATTAAATAATTTGTTAGGATGTTTTGTTTGTTATATTGGTCTTGACCCCTCCTGAAGACTTGTTTGCTTCCTTATGTTAAATTTATACTTTTATTTCACGCTAAGCTTGTTGTCTTTGTGAGTCAGTAAAAGGGAAAAATCTACATCCAAACCTCCACCACTTTCTTTATTACTCCTTCCCAGCCCTAGACTGGTGAGGTTGTAATACACATTTAGTGGAAATTGGGCTAACAATCTAAGAAGAGTTCAAAATAACAGATTTTTAAAACTAATTCAGCATAGTGGAAAGGATGTTGTGTAAATTAGGGAACAAATTACATCAGCGTTCACATATCAATGATACAAGGAATCTGCAAGACCAGTCTCATGATAATAAACAAAATTGTTGAAAAGTCATTTGAAAAATTTATTATGACTTCCAGCCCAGAAGGTGGCTCAAACTGGCATAGTTTGGTTAATTTCACGTCTAGATCACTAACATTAAGTTTGGTTTCAATACTTCAAACCATTGCAATGATTCAGCCTGTAAAGTTATCTAACAACATTACATCAAGTTTGCACATGTGCTAATTGACAACAGTTTTGTCTATCATTGTGAATTCCATAACTTTTCTAAGGATAATTCGAGTCAAATTTGGTGAATATTAAACCAACAATCTAGGAGGAGTTAAGAAAAAGAATGGTTTTAACAAATTCAAAATGGCGGACAAAATTTAGCAGATTATGGCATAATTGGCATAAAAGACCAATTTCATCAAAATAAGCATATGCAGTCAAAAGTTATTACCAAATTTGTCGATTTCATTAACAATGGCTAATGAATGTCTTATAACTCTGACCCATAGGTGGCACTGTCACTAGATCTTTATGGTGTGGTCAGTGTGAGGCGACAATGACAGACCTAAAATTTGGTGCCATTATCTTTAACTATCACAGAGATACAGCCTCAGATGTAGTTTGGCATCATGCTATCACATTTGTTGGTGCAGTAAACAAAAACCGATGCAACTATTAACACAAATTCAATAACTTTTTGTCAGCATGGTCTGAAGATGATCTGATCAAATTTGGTGCAAATCAGTCATGTTTACTGACTACAACGATGTACTGTAGCAGTTTAAAAAAGTAGGTTTTTGACTTAAGGCTAGATGGTGGACAGGAAGTTCAGTTAATTAAGGCATAATTGGTAGCGATAATCTTAGAACAACTTAAGAAATATAGCAAGACAAGTTTCATGACAATAGCCAAAATGGTTATGAAACAAGTTTACTGATGTAAGATACTCACATGAGTGTGTTGAGTGTACAGTGTTTATCCTGCAGTAGAGCAGAGAGTTGATTCACTCGAGTGTCTCCTAGTTCACGATCACTCAGATTCAGTTCTTTCAGGAGTAACGGGTTTTCACCCACAATTCCAGTCACAAACTGACAGCCTTCTTCAGCAGTAGGACTCAAAAACCTGAAGAAGAGGAGATCAAGCAGGAGTCAGTTCTCAACTACTTTCACTGTTTATTGCTGCATTACAAAACATGCTGATAAGAAAAGATTATTCCATTTATGACAACTTCACAAAAAAAAGTCAAATTTAAGCAGCAGGATGAAACTGACCTCTTAGAGTGTTCCTTGTTTACATAAACTAAACATTTCAATATAAAAGGGTGTAATTGCATTTACTAACTACACATCATTTCAACGTATCTAACTAAAATATCTGAAATAATATTACTACTTACTAGTACAACTACTTACACTTTTGTTTGTGCTTTATTATTTTTATAAACAGTTTTAGCCCTCTAAAACAGTATCATTACCATAAAGTAACCTTTATTAAGATAACATTCTCTTATTACTGAATGAACATTGTTTCAACAAAATGGTGACATTAAAATTTCTAATGGTTTTCTCAATTGTGATAGTGTTTCTCAATTCCAAGAATGCAGAGAATGGACTTGCATTTTCGTGGAGAATGATCCTGCCAAGTTACCTTGGAAGAACAAACTCTGAAGACCGCGAGATCTTGCAAAAGCCTTACAAAGACACTTTACACAATACAAATGACACAAATTTTAATGTTAATATGCATATCAGCAAATAAACACCCTTAATGTGTTTATGCATTTATCAACAAAAGTTTGGGTGAAAACTGTACTTTCACTGTCTCATTTAGGGAAACTTCTGAGATAAATAATTCATGCCTCTGTGAGTACTGTTATACAGTATGTAGTTATATTGAGCAAGTACTGCCCTCAAGTCTGCAATAAATGCATCATTGAAATCAAAAACAAATCCGGGTACTTTCAAGCGTCCTCTGTTCTTGCGATCTTGATTATGGCGTTACACAAGAACACAAGGATACAAGCATACCTGCCAACATTTGGATCATAAAATCTGGGAGATTTTCCCGTTGGTCCACTTAAAGTGAGACTGTACCAAAAAGCTGATGGAGGGGGGGAAGAGATTTTCAGCATATGGAGGTGGGTCTGAAATACAGGAGATTACCGGGAAAAACAGGAGTGTTGGCAGGTATGGATACAAGTTCACTTAAGAACGCATATTGAGAAATACACATGATCTTAAACATGTTTTTTGTAACTGAGCGATTCGGATTTATCATTTCTAGTCTGCAAAAAGTTGTTCTTTATGACAACATGTAACTATGACCTGATAGTAATATGTCTTACTCGTTTCTTTCTTCATTTTTGTTTTCTAAATCTGCATTTGCAGACTAACAGCTAAAAATGGGGTGACAGTCTTGAAACAAACTCTGAAGGACCAAACTGTCCAGAGATCAATAGTCCAAGCTCAATACATACATAATCCAGGTAAATACAGAGTAAAACTAAAGCCTTAAAATGTTTCTGGCTTTAAACTAAACATGTTCAGAAATGTTTGCTTTGTGAAGCTGCAAGTTTGTGAAGATCTGGAGTCTCTCAGACCTGCTGTAGAGTCAAAGATTTACAGTCAATCTGAGCTGATGGACTTTTAATTTAAGTGTGTTCAGTGAAAATGTAACTACTTGACTAATAGGCTTTCTAGAGGCTCCACAAGAACACAGATTGTGCATTATCAGTACTTTTATTAAGGGCAATGTTTTAGCACTTTTATATCAAAGCATCACAATAAAGAGTAACCTCACATCCAGTGACCCATTACTAGGTTTAATATTTTGTACTGAATATTGCACCACAACTAAACTCTACCGACATTTTTCATGATTCATTTTGATGCAACAAATTGTCTATTATATTGTTTTAGTGACAGACTATTATGGAACAAAATCACTGCCAAAAGTATTGAAATAAAAAGCTTGTTAAATAACACAACTGAAAAAAAGAATACACTGAATTAACAAGTTCTTGCATTAACTTGAATTCCAGGGTTTGTATTTTTAAGTCCTGAAATTTAGATTTTATGAATCTCACACAAAACAGTTTACTTGGAACTGTTAGACACAGAGTGTAATTTCAAATCATTGAACATAACGAGCAAATGCATTGAGGAGCGACTGTCAGTTATTCATACAGAACCGTCTAATATATGGCATAACCAACCGTAAGGGGTCATTAGACTATGAAGTGCTTGCACTGTTTAAATGCAGCTATTGCAGGATTTGGATAGGCTATATATTTTCATTATTCAAATTATTATTATTGTTGTTATGATCATTAATATTATTATTTTATGGCATTTATTTAGGCTATTGCGCTTAAGTCATCTGTGATTCTGAATTAATATTTCTATTTATCCTTTTTAGCCTTCACTCTGCCTGCCTTTCTCTTCTTCTAACTTTTGGGGTTCAGCAATGGTTAAACGTTTGGAAAATGTCTTTAGTTTGTCCAGATATTGTTTTATTGTTATGTAGCTTATAGTCGAGAAAAAGGTATTAATGCAAAAGTGGCATGTCTCAGCCAAGTATAAGTAATAAAATAAAGTAGCCTGTGGTTTGATAATAGTCTATCATTACTGACTTTAATTTGTTTTTAAGAAATCCCTTATTTGAACAGTTTTTATTGTAGTCTAATAACTTTTCAGCGACCGTTTGTATTTTATGATTAGCAATGTTAATCTTTTTTTGCAGTTATTAAACATCTAAACTTAAATAAACTGGTTTAAATTTAATATAGTTGTCACTTCAGCTAATTTCATGAGATAATGTTTAGAATGCGTGGTTTGACATAAATTTTTGAGTGGTTCCTGCAAAGCAGCTCAGTGTTCGTCATCATGGGGTTATTACTGAGCTATTATCGCCATATACTGGCAGAGAATGAATTTACTAATTTATTCTATCAACTCTTTTCTGCAAGTGTGTTTTATGATTTAACAAAGTCCAGCCATTATGTTTTTATTTTATATTTTAAGATGATCATATTTAAATAAACAATTGCTAAGGGTAGTTAATGTTTTCTTTTTTCTTGTTTTTTAAAAAAAAATCTGTATAAAATCTGCATTTTTGCTTTCTGTGACAAAGTAAATTTTTTAGGATTCTGGATGCATTTTTGCTAAATTAGTGTTGGATATTCATAAGCTCACACAAGTTTAATCAAATATATTATTAAAAAAGCCATTAATTTTTATCATTCTTTTAACAATTATACAAGCAACATTTTGCGCCGACAGCTTTACTTTCGGAAACGGTAAACAGTGAGGTGTTATTCATATAGGCTCAAGCATGAAATATGTCATAATTAATATAATAGTATTAATATAATAATGGCAACACTCTTGTATTCTCATGCTTTGCCATTATGGCCAGGAGTAATGTCATGACTTTCACTTCTCACGTTCATAATTATGCACAAGCCCAGATTCATTCATTCATTCATTCATTCATTCATTCATTCGTTTTCTTGTCGGCTTAGTCCCTTTATTAATCCGGGTTTGCCACAGCGGAATGAACCGCCAACTTATCCAGCAAGTTTTTTACGCAGCGGATGCCCTTCGAGCTGCAACCCATCTCTGGAAAACATCCACACACACATTCACATTCACACACACACTCATACACTACGGACAATTTAGCCTACCCAATTCACCTGTACCGCATGTCTTTGGACTGTGGGGGAAACCGAAGCACCCGGAGGAAACCCACACGAATGCAGGGAGAACCTCCCTGTATGAGTGTATGTGTGAACAGGATTGCATTATTAATGTATTATTATAATATTTCCTCCTGTTTCTCTTACGCTTATATTCTTTAGCTGTCAATATAAAACTTTATGTCTATGAAAGAAAGAGTTAATAAAGATAGAGAATGTGTGACATCATAGTTGACAAAAGATGGTTTATGTGAATGTAACCCCACCGGTCCGAGCAGGACACGAGCCAGCGAGGAGGCTAAAGATTGAAGAACAACATTTGTCACTGAATCAGAGGAGTGAGGTTTACGCAATCACCAGCTGGCTTCCGTTCCTTAAGGGCAAATATAAATGACCAAAACTGTCAGGTTTCTGCCACTCTGGTCATGTAAATTCTTGTTTTGGTGGCAGAGTCCGGACACATCTGCCTGTCAAGTCCTGTCTTTTTTTCTTGAAGAGTTTTCTTGGGTTGAGCACTTGTTTCTGTCATTGTGTCTGTCTCAGTGTGTGCGCGCACCGTTGTGGGTGTGCGCAGAGCGTGCGCGCTCCTGCTTAATGCGGCCGCGTGGGCTCTGCGTGCCTCGAACGTGCGCTCTTGTACTCGTGTTTGTGTTTGTTCCCGTCTATTGTCAATTCCCACCCTCCTTGTTAACCCATTATTAGTTAATTATGTTCATCTGTTTAAGTGGTAATTTCCTCCTCCTTATATTCTCCTCATGTCTGCTGTCCTGTGCCAGTTTGTTATCATATGTTTCGTTCTCCTGTTCCTGTAGTGTTTCCAGTTCTGATCCCTGCCAGCCTGTCTAGTCCCGTTTGTGTGTGTATTTATTTGTTTTGTTAATGTTTTCCCCCTCGGGGTAGTTTATTTTGCTGTTTATTTTATTTTTGCTATTAATAAAATCCCATTTAGTTCTGCACTTGAGTTCTCGCCCCTTTCCTCTACACAACCATGACACAAAAATAATTTGCTCATTTTACTCACTCATTTTATCACTTATGATGACCAAAACATGATATTAATATTAAATGCTACTTTTGTGCCTTTATTAGCTTTTTTCTTGCCTATTTACTGGGTTAAAAAACTTAAATTATTCCATCTCCACCCCTGCTGGTGAAAGAGCAGCTGGTGATCTTCAATCTGCAATCTATTGCTTTTCCTGCAGTGCCCAGATGTAATGTTGAATTGAAACAGTCAAATTTGAACCACTGAATTTATGGAAGCGAATATTTGAACTGAAATAAAATGAACTGAAAATTGCCTTTTGAATATTATACATCGTATTTGTAAAGGGTATTGAATATTTTGTAAGTGAAATCTGGAAATTAAATATGAATTGTTGAATTGATAAGTATGAAAACGTGTTTGAAATATTTTTCATTGAAATATTTACAGCTTAAATAAACAGCTAAGTTAAATTTCAGGACTTAAAAATACAAACCCTGGAATTCAAGTCATTAAAATACAAGAACTTAATTCAGTGTATTATATTGTTCAGTTTGTGCTAATCATCAAGCTTTTTAATTCAATACTTTTGGCATTGATTTTGTTTCATAGACTACTGTCTAAATAATTCACTTTTATTCTCCTCATGTCTCACCTCAGTGTCTTCAGTGTACAGTGTGGATCCTGCAGTAACTCAGTGAGCTCCTTCACTCCTGATTGTCCAGGATCATTTCCTCTGAGATCCAGCTCTATCAGGTGTGAAGGGTTTGATCTCAGAGCTGAAGCCAGAGCTTTATAACCTTCTTCACTTGTATTGCAATCTGAAAGACTACAGAAAATAAAACTCAGAAATAAATATAAGACTGTAGTTCATGTTTATACACAAAACTCAAAATCACTAAAAATAAACACATTTTCAGGTAAATTTTAGGCACCATAGGCTCATGTGTATGTTGATTGACTACATTATACTAAAACGTCTAAAAGTCTGAAACAGAAATGATTGAAACAGAATGAATTTTAGAAAATACCTTAATTAAATTAAACTATTAGCAAAGTTTTACTCCAGAAATGAGAGTTGCTAAACACAACTGAATATGAAGAGTTGTTTGGCAAAAACAGGTAGCAACTGTATGTAGTATTTTTAAGAACTATTTTTTTCAGTTGTATTTTTTATTACACAACATAAAAACCTGATATCTAAAAATGACAAAAAAAATTAACCCTCTACCTCACGCATTATGAGAAATTTGTAAAAAAATAATAATAATAATAATAAAAAAAAAAAATATATATATATATATTTTTTTTTTTTTTATCACTGTTTTTCTTTTTTTAATTTTGAAGAGCTGTAAGAAAAACTTTAAAAAAAAATCTTTTTAAGGTACTTTATGAAATGTTGCCATATGGCAACAACGTCCAACAGTAGATCTAACTTAAAAACTTCAAATTTAAAACTTTACATATAATTAATATTTTTTTTAGTTTGAAATAATTTAATTGGTGTTGCAGTATTATGAGCTTTAACACAGAACTTATAAATAACACCTTATACACAATTTCAACAACTCATATTCCAACAGCTTTCATTTTATTCCATTCTTTTTTCTGAATATTATTGAAAACTATCATAATATTGTATTATCATATATACAACATTCAGTATATATAACTATTTTCTCCAGTAATTGTTTTACAAATAAATAACAAGTCTAATATATCCAGATGCATGAAAGATTAATGTAGCTACAAGGTAACAATGTTTATATATATTATACAATATACTATACTACGCCTATCTTATCTGAACTGTCTCTATCAAATGCCCAGTCTGCATCCTTCTCATGGTCAACATTATATTACTAGCATTCATGTTGTTATTGTAACAACTGAAAAGTTCACAGCTGACCTTGCTAGCCAGCTAGCCCATTGCAATATTGCATGTTCCACTATTGCACAGTGTTGTCATTTGGCAAAATACACATTTGATCGATTTACAAAAAACAAATTTTTATTTAAAAGAATTTGAGTTGTAAAAATGTCATCATAACTTACTGGAGGTGATGTTTCAGATTTTTTTGTGGATCTGACAATTTGATTTTTGTTTTTTTGTTTTTTTTTTGACGTTTACATTTGCATTTAGCAACTACTCACATTAAACACCAGTCTGTCAGAAATCGAGCTACAGAAAAACATTGCATGTCATGTGACTTAACCAAAGCACATCATTGGCTACACTAAGGTCTTCTCTTTCCAACAAAAAAAAAAAATTATGTTGGTCTTAAAGAAAAAGTGGCAGGGAAAAGAACATAAGTATCATGTTTCCATATGGTTACGCCATGCAGTAGAGGGTTAATTTATTTGTTTCGGAAATAAAATCTTCACTTCTCAAAAACAAAGATCCAGAAATATTGAATGTATTAGACATCAGCTCACCTGAGTTTCTCCAGTTTACTGTCCTTCAGTCCATCAGAGAGCAGCTTCACTCCTGAATCCTGCAGATTATTATTGCTCAGGTCAAGATCCTTCAGACTGCTGGAGTCTGATCTGAGAACTGAAGCCAGAGCTGAACAGCTTTCCTCTCTTAGATCACACTTACTGAGCCTGAAAATAAACACCAACACTGATTCATTCCAATAATTGAGAGTTAATTAAATTATGTAAGACAATTTGACAACTCACTGGCATATCAAGGAATCAGTTCAAGTCCAATACTCAATCTAAAAATCTTGGTCAGGCACCACATTCTCTGGTCATATAGAACTGCCTTGAGGGCGTTAAACCATAGGGGAACCCATTACAGATAACAGAGAGCCAATTGATTTGCCTATTTTCACCAATACTTTGTCCATAGCTGGGGACCCTTTACAAAATTTGAGCACAATGTAATCAAGCAACAAAGGTGCTTTACAAAACTTTTAACAGGAAACCTAATTAATTGCCTCACAAGACTCTTTTCATGACTCCTGGGACATGTGCTCGGACTCCTGGGACATGTGCTCGTCATGTGCTCCATGTGGCTTTACATCTAGTTAGATGTACTACTTTTGTAGAGACAAATGAACTCTGGAATTAATGCCTATGAATGAAAGACAATCACTTAAATTTTACCATTAAGCCAATGATATCTTTGAATACTATGCCATAGCTTTCGTCATATACTATGTGTTTGTTGCAACCAAGTAAATCAATGTGTTTTAAACCCTTGTAGCAGATGAAACCTTCTGTATGCGTCTGAAATGTATGTATGGTACTAAACAATAGCAAGTGACATTTGCAATACTTTGGTGTAAATTAAAAACTAGTAGTACAAACAATAGTCGTCTTATAACATTTGATGTAAGATAGTTATGCAGCAGGGGGGTCCCATCTCTATTGTTTTCAAATGACATCCAGAGACTTTTAATGACCACAGAGAGTCAGGGCCTCAGTTTAATGACACTATAGAGTCCACATCACTATACTGAAACATTAGAACCCACACAGACGGCCAGTTGAGCTTCCCCTGCTGGCCTCATAAACACCTGAACACCAGCAAAAATCAGGTAATAGTCAGGCACAACCCTGCTTAGCTTCAGTGGTGACCATGTGAGAGCTGCAGAGAGCTAGCTGCCGGCAAACAACAAGTTTACTGATGTAAGATACTCACATGAGTGTGTTGAGTTTACAGTGTTTATCCTGCAGTAGAGCAGAGAGTTGATTCACTCGTGTGTCTCCTAGTTTACGACCTCTCAGGTTCAGTTTTGTCAGGAATAACGGGTTTTTACGCACAATTCTAGTCACAAACTGACAGCCTTCATCAGCAGTAGGACTCAAAAACCTGGGAAAAATAAAGCAGGAGTCAGTTCTCAACTTACTGCATTACAAAACATGCTGATTAGACCAGATTGATCTATTTATAACACCTTCACACAAAAAAAGAAAAGAGAAAAACAAAGAAATGTCAAATTTAAGCAGCAGGATGAAACTGACCTACTAGAGTGTTCCTTGTTTACATAAATTAAACATTACAATATAAAAGGGTGTAATTACATTTCATCACCTTTGAATTATAAGGTCCTATCTGCGTTCTGAATGATTTTGAGATATTGAGCTTTAAAGTTTTTGCATTCCATAGCAGACAGTATATGTGTAACATTTGTATTTTTTAAATAAAAAGCCTTAATGTAAACAACTTACAAAAAAAAACATCCCAAAATGTAAATAATTTGTCATTTAATAAGAATATGTCAATAACTCAATTTTGACAAAAATGTCAGATAGAACCTTATTATTCTAAGGTGACGATTTACTAACTACACATCATTTTAAAATATCTAACTAAAATATCTGAAATAATTTTACTACTTACTTGTACTACTACTTATGCTTTTGTTTGTGCTTTATTGTTTTTATAAACAGTTTTAGCCCTCTAAACCAGTATCATTACCATAAAATTATTTTCTTTATTAAGATTACGTTCCCTTAATATTGAATGAACATAGTTTCAACACAATGGTGAAATTAGAATTTCTAATGGCTTTCTCGATTTTGGAAGTGTTTCTCATTTCCAAGAGAATGGACTTGCATTTTCGTGGAGAATGATCCTGCCAAGTTACCTTGGAAGAACAAACTCTGAAGACTGCAAGAACTGAAATGCATCCTGTGAGGAATGAGATGCAGCTGTTGGTCACCTGATTTTCACGCATTTTAATGAAATATTGCTTAAAGAGCCCATTTATGCATTATAAAGGGTCATATTTTTAAGGGTCTCCAACAACAGGCAGACATGCATGCAAGGTCAAAAAACACATTATCATTTTCTTATGATATGCTTTTTTATTTACCTAATTATCCCAGCGACTCCCATATGAATTGTTCAGTGATTCATTTGTTGCAAAACCCCTCCTTAGCGTGATACTAATCAGCACTGACTGGTCCGATGACCAGTCTGTTGTTATTGGTCGACTGCGTTCAGCTTGACACAGAGAGAAATGCCCAGCACGACTTATTATCAAGTAGTCAGAGTGCAGAGTGTATGTGTGAACCCAATGTAGGAGTGCATTAAGACAATGCAGTTTAACACCAGCATATTGCTCTATTCTTAACCATAAGTAAAAACAGTTACACACATTCAGTATTAATCCACACAGTGGCAAAAGCTGAACTATAGCACAGCACAAGGCTGGGCTATAATGCTGAGGTATTTTTGCAAAAATAAAATTCAACCACTGACTCTCCATAGCCTCATCTTTGGGTAGGGAAAATAACACTAACTTTTCCTCACACTTCAGAGCACAGCGTCTTCGCGACGTGATTCAGCAGAGATCTGCTACAGTGTCTTCCTCCTTTTCTTTCTACAGTGTTTGTGGGCGGGACCGGGGGTTTAAATTTTCCCTCATTTGCGCATGCAACCAATGGGCGGGGCTTGAGTTCCATATCGACTTCTCGCCAACACAGGTAAAGACTTGTTACAGTGGCGATTCATTTGAAGCACTAAGAGTCCACTGTTTTATAGATGAATCAAGAGTTTTAAACATGATGCACTTTCAGATTTAAGCCTTTAATTTAAGCCTTTAAATTTAAGATGTTTCTTTTCACTTAGAGCTGTGTGATGCACTGCATGAAAGGTCATTTTTGAAAACCCATAACAGGGGCTTTTTTAATATTACAGCATTCATACAACAATTAATTGTTTTATTTCCATTTTAATATTTATATATATATATATATATATATATATATATATATATATATATATATATATATATATATATATATAAAATGCACAAAAGCCTTACAAAGAAATTTTGCACAATACAAATGACACAGATTTTAATGTTAATACGAATATCAGAAAATAAACACCCTTAATGTCTTTATGCATTTATCAACAAAAGTTCTGGTGAAAACTGCACTTTCACTGTCTCATTTAGGGAAACTTCTGAGATAAATAAGCAGTGGTGGATCATACTCAAGTAAAAGTATCATTACATGCCTAAAAATGTAGTGCAAGTAGAGTAAAAGTATCTGTTGTAAATATTACTCAAAGAATGAGTAAAAAGTAGCCCTTTCTAAAGTACTCAAGAGTAGTGAGTATTACGCTGTTAAAGCTGATGTGTTTACATGTAATTTGTGAATGTAAATGTAACATTCTGTAGTGCAATTAGTTATTGTCCAGCAGGCACACAACATCATAACACGTTAATATTAGGATAGATTTAGGTTGTGATGTCAGGTGACCAAAATTCAATGTCTAGTCAGCGTCTAAGGGTAACATTATTTTGATATCCAATAATGACGTCAAATGACGTTGATATTTGTTGGAGATTATCCAACGTAGAGTCAACATCTTAAACCAACATCATATTGATGTAAACTACTGACATTTATTCATCAGAATCATCGGACCCTTTTAATGCCTTCAAACAGTTTGCTGCAATTATAAATGTCTTGAGGTAGCTCATTATGAGGATATTTGCCTTCTGTGCGCGATTTGATTGGACAGAAATCACAGGACTGATTTTTCGAATACCCATAGACAACAAAAATAAAGTAGTGATTGCAGGTTGAAGGAAAGTAGTGGAGTAAAAGTACCAATTACTGCACTAAAAATGTACTCAAGGAAGAGTAAAGGTACACATTTATAAAACTTATTAAATTACAATTTCTGAGAAAAACCACTCAATTACAGTAATTTGAGTACTTGTAATTAGTTACTTTACACCACTGTAAATAAGTCATGTCTTGACGTTTTAGAGCTGAACTTTGTCGGTTGATTATGGCGTTACACAACTACACAAAGATACAAGATCACTTAAGAACGCATATTGAGAAATACACATCATCTCAAACATGTTTGCAGTCTGCAAAAATTTGTTCTTTATGACAACATGTAACCATGACCTGATAGTAATATGTCTTAAGTCTTTTCTTTCTTCATTTTTGTTTTCTAAATCTGCATTTGCAGACTAACAGCTAAAAATGGGGTGACAGTCTTGAAACAAACTCTGAAGGACCAAACTGTCCAGAGATCAATAGTCCAAGCTCAATACATACATAATCCAGGTAAATACAGAGTAAAACTAAAGCCTTAAAATGTTTCTGGCTTTAAACTAAACATGTTCAGAAATGTTTGCTTTGTGAAGCTGCAAGTTTGTGAAGATCTGGAGTCTCTCAGACCTGCTGTAGAGTCAAAGATTTACAGTCAATCTGAGCTGATGGACTTTTAATTTAAGTGTGTTCAGTGAAAATGTAACTACTTGACTAATAGGCTTTCTAGAGGCTCCACAAGAACACAGATTGTGCATTATCAGTACTTTTATTAAGGGCAATGTTTTAGCACTTTTATATCAAAGCATCACAATAAAGAGTAACCTCACATCCAGTGACCCATTACTAGGTTTAATATTTTGTACTGAATATTGCACCACAACTAAACTCTACTGACATTTGTCATGATTCATTTTGATGCAACAAATTGTCTATTATATTGTTTTAGTGACAGACTATTATGGAACAAAATCAATGCCAAAAGTATTGAAATAAAAAGCTTGTTAAATAACACAACTGAAAAAAAGAATACACTGAATTAACAAGTTCTTGCATTAACTTGAATTCCAGGGTTTGTATTTTTAAGTCCTGAAATTTAGATTTTATGAATCTCACACAAAACAGTTTACTTGGAACTGTTAGACACAGAGTGTAATTTAAAATCATTGAACATAACGAGCAAATGCATTGAGGAGCGACTGTCAGTTATTCATACAGAACCGTCTAATATATGGCATAACCAACCGTAAGGGGTCATTAGACTATGAAGTGCTTGCACTGTTTAAATGCAGCTATTGCAGGATTTGGATAGGCTATATATTTTCATTATTCAAATTATTATTATTGTTGTTTTGATTATTAATATTATTATTTTATGGCATTTATTTAGGCTATTGCGCTTAAGTCATCTGTGATTCTGAATTAATATTTCTATTTATCCTTTTTAGCCTTCACTCTGCCTGCCTTTCTCTTCTTCTAATTTTTGGGGTTCAGCCATGGTTAATCGTTTGGAAAATGTCTTTAGTTTGTCCAGATATTGTTTTATTGTTATGTAGCTTATAGGCGAGAAAAAGGTATTAATGCAAAAGTGGCATGTCTCAGCCAAGTATAAGTAATAAAATGGGTAGCCTATGGTTTGATAATAGTCTATCATTACTGACTTTAATTTGTTTTTAAGAAATCCCTTATTTGAACAGTTTTTATTGTAGTCTAATAACTTTTCAGCGACCGTTTGTATTTTATGATTAGCAATGTTAATCTTTTTTTGCAGTTATTAAACATCTAAACTTAAATAAACTGGTTTAAATTTAATATAGTTGTCACTTCAACTAATTTCATGAGATAATGTTTAGAATGCGTGGTTTGACATAAATTTTTGAGTGGTTCCTGCAAAGCAGCTCAGTGTTCGTCATCATGGGGTTATTACTGAGCTATTATCGCCATATACTGGCAGAGAATGAATTTACTAATTTATTCTATCAACTCTTTTCTGCAAGTGTGTTTTATGATTTAACAAAGTCCAGCCATTATGTTTTTATTTTATATTTTAAGATGATCATATTTAAATAAACAATTGCTAAGGGTAGTTAATGTTTTCTTTTTTCTTGTTTTTTAAAAAAAAATCTGTATAAAAATCTGCATTTTTGCTTTCTGTGACAAAGTAAATTTTTTAGGATTCTGGATGCATTTTTGCTAAATTAGTGTTGGATATTGATAAGCTCACACAAGTTAAATCAAATATATTATTTAAAAAGCCATTAATTTTCATCATTCTTTTAACAATCTTTAAACAGTGAGGTGTTATTCATAAAGGCTCAAGCATGAAATATGTCATGATTAATATAATAATATTAATATAATAATGGCAACACTCTTGTATTCTTATGCTTTGCCATTATGGCCAGGAGTAATGTCATGACTTTCACTTCTCACATTCATAATTATGCACAAGCTCAGATTCATTCATTCATTCATTCATTCGTTTTCTTGTCGGCTTAGTCCCTTTATTAATCCGTGGCTCTGTGTTTACTTTGCGGTCATGTGCTTGTGTTGTCATCAACATGTTGTTAATGAGTTCTCTCATTGGCTGCATGTTCTTGTCCTGTTTTATGTGAGCGCATGGCTTGTGTTGTCTCTGTGTCATGCGCTCTCCCGTCTATTGTCAATTCCCACCCTCCTTGTTAACCCATTATTAGTTAATTATGTTCATCTGTTTAAGTGGTAATTTCCTCCTCCTTATATTCTCCTCATGTCTGCTGTCCTGTGCCAGTTTGTTATCATATGTTTCGTTCTCCTGTTCCTGTAGTGTTTCCAGTTCTGATCCCTGCCAGCCTGTCTAGTCCCGTTTGTGTGTGTATTTATTTGTTTTGTTAATGTTTTCCCCCTCGGGGTAGTTTATTTTGCTGTTTATTTTATTTTTGCTATTAATAAAATCCCATTTAGTTCTGCACTTGAGTTCTCGCCCCTTTCCTCTACACAACCATGACACAAAAATAATTTGCTCATTTTACTCACTCATTTTATCACTTATAATGACCAAAACATGATATTAATATTAAATGCTACTTTTGTGCCTTTATTAGCTTTTTTCTTGCCTATTTACTGGGTTAAAAAACTTAAATTATTCCATCTCCACCCCTGCTGGTGAAAGAGCAGCTGGTGATCTTCAATCTGCAATCTATTGCTTTTCCTGCAGTGCCCAGATGTAATGTTGAATTGAAACAGTCAAATTTGAACCATTGAATTTATGGAAGCGAATATTTGAACTGAAATAAAATGAACTGAAAATTGCCTTTTGAATATTATACATCATATTTGTAAAGGGTATTGAATATTTTGTAAGTGAAATCTGGAAATTAAATATAAATTGTTGAATTGATAAGTATGAAAACGTGTTTGAAATATTTTTCGTTGAAATATTCACAGCTTAAATAAACAGCTAAGTTAAATTTCAGGACTTAAAAATACAAATCTTGGAATGCAAGTCATTAAAATGCAAGAACTTGTTAATTCAGTGTATTATATTGTTCAGTTTGTGCTAACCATCAAGCTTTTTAATTCAATACTTTTGGCATTAATTTTGTTTCATAGACTACTGTCTAAATAATTCACTTTTATTCTCCTCATGTCTCACCTCAGTTTCTTCAGTGTACAGTGTGGATCCTGTAGTAACTCAGTGAGCTCCTTCACTCCTGATTGTCCAGGATCATTTCCTCTGAGATCCAGCTCTATCAGGTGTGAAGGGTTTGATCTCAGAGCTGAAGCCAGAGCTTTATAACCTTCTTCACTTGTATTGCAATCTGAAAGACTAGAGAAAATAAAACTCAGAAATAAATATAAGACTGTAGTTCATGTTTATACACAAAACTCAAAATCACTAAAAATAAACACATTTTTTAGGTAAATTTTAGGCACCATAGGCTCATGTGTATGTTGATTGACTACATTATACTAAAACGTCTAAAAGTCTGAAACAGAAATGATTGAAACAGAATGAATTTTAGAAAATACCTTAATTAAATTAAACTATTAGCAAAGTTTTACTCCAAAAATGAAAGTTGCTAAACACAACTGAATATGAAGAGTTGTTTGGCAAAAACAGGTAGCTACTGTATGTAGTATTTTTAAGAACTATTTTTTTCAGTTGTATTTTTTATTACATAACATAAAAACATGATATCTAAAAATGACAAAACAAATTAACCCTCTACCTCACGCATTATGATAAATTTGTAGGAAAAAAATGTAGATATATATATATATATATATCACTGTTTTTCTTTTTTTAATCTTGAAGAGCTGTAAAAAAAAACTTTTAAAAAAATCTTTTTAAGGTACTTTATGAAATGTTGCCATATGGCAACAACGTCCAACAGTAGATCTAACTTAAAAACTTCAAATTTAAAACTTTACATATAATTAATAATTTTTTTTAGTTTGAAATAATTTAATTGGTGTTGCAGTATTATGAGCTTTAACAAAGAACTTATAAATAACACCTTATACACAATTTCAACAACTCATATTCCAACAGCTTTCATTTTATTCCATTCTTTTTTGCTGAATATTATTGAAAACTATCATAATATTGTATTATCATATATACAACATTCAGTATATATATATATATATAACTATTTTCTCCAGTAATTATTTTACAAATAAATAACGGGTGTAATATATCCAGATGCATCAGATTAATGTAGCTACTAGCTAACAATGTTTATATATTATACAATATACTATATTACACCTATCTTATCTGAACTGTCTCTATCAAATGCCCAGTCTGCATCCTTCTCATGGTCACTAAAATCCATCTCATGTATGTTGTCATTTGGCAACATACACATTTGATCGATTTACAAAAAACTAATTTTATTTAAAAGAATTTGAGTTGTAAATATGTCATCATAACTTACTGGAGGTGATGTTTCAGATTTTTTTGTGGATCTGACATAATTTGATCCTTTGTTTTTATTGACGTTTACATTTGCATTTAGCAACTACTCACATTAAACATCAGTCTATCAGAAATCGCTCTACAGAAAAACATTGCATGTCATGTGACTTAACCAAAGCACATCATTGGCTACACTAAGGTCTTCTCTTTCCAACAAAAAAAAAATTATGTTGGTCTTAAAGAAACAGTGGCAGGGAAAAGAACATAAGTATCATGTTTCCATATGGTTACGCCATGCAGTAGAGGGTTAAGTTATTTGTTTCGGAAATAAAATCTTCACTTCTCAAAAACAAAGATCCAGAAATATTGAATGTATTAGACATCAGCTCACCTGAGTTTCTCCAGTTTACTGTCCTTCAGTCCATCAGAGAGCAGCTTCACTCCTGAATCCTGCAGATTATTATTGCTCAGGTCAAGATCCTTCAGACTGCAGGAGTCTGATCTGAGAACTGAAGCCAGAGCTGAACAGCTTTCCTCTGTTAGATCACACTTACTGAGCCTGAAAATAAACACCAACACTTATTCATTTTAATAATTGAGAATTAATAAAATTTTATGTAAGACAATTTGACAACTCAATGGCATATTGAGGAATCAGATCAAGTCCAATACTCAATCTAAAAATCTTGGTCAGGCACCACATTCGCTGGTCATATAGAACTGCCTTGAGGGCGTTAAACCATAGGAGAACCCATTACAGATAACAGAGAGCCAATTGATTTGCCTATTTTCACCAATACTTTGTCCATAGCTGGGGACCCTTTACAAAATTTGAGCACAATGTAATCAAGCAACAATGGTGTTTTACAAAACTTTAACAGGAAACCTAATTAATTGCCTCACAAGACTCTTTTCATGACTCCTGGGACATGTGCTCGTCATGTGCTCCATGTGGCTTTACATCTAGTTAGATGTACTACTTTTGTAGAGACAAAGGAACTCTGGAATTAATGCATATGAATGAAAGACAATCACTTAAATTTTAACATTAAGCCAATGATATCTTTGAATACTATGCCATAGCTTTCGTCATATACTATGTGTTTGTTGCAACCAAGTTAATCAATGTATTTTAAACCCTTGTAGCAGATGAAACCTTCTGTATGCGTCTGAAATGTATGTATGGTACTAAACAAAAGCAAGAGACATTTGCAATACTTTGGTGTAAATTAAAAACTAGTAGTACAAACAATAGTCGTCTTATAACATTTGATGTAAGATAGTTATGCAGCAGGGGGGTCCCATCTCTATTGTTTTCAAATGACATCCAGAGACTTTTAATGACCACAGAGAGTCAGGACCTCAGTTTAATGTCTCATCCAAAGGACGGTGCTCACTGACACTATAGAGTCCACATCACTATACTAAAACATTAGGACCCACACAGACGACCAGTTGAGCTTCCCCTGCTGGCCTCATAAACACCTGAACACCAGCAAAAATCAGGTAATAGTCAGGCACAACCCTGCTTAGCTTCAGTGGTGACCATGTGAGAGCTGCAGAGAGCTAGCTGCCGGCAAACAACAAGTAGACTGATGTAAGATACTCACATGAGTGTGTTAATCTGACAGTGTTTATCCTGCAGTAGAGCAGAGAGTTGATTCACTCGTGTGTCTCCTAGTACACGATCACTCAGGTTCAGTTCTTTCAGGAGTAACAGGTTTTTACCCACAATTCCAGTCACAAACTGACAGCCTTCTTCAGCAGTAGGACTCAAAAACCTGAAGAAGAGGAGATCAAGCAGGAGTCAGTTCTCAACTACTTTCACTGTTTATTGCTGCATTACAAAACATGCTGATAAGAAAAGATTAATCCATTTATGACAACTTCACAAAAAAAAAAAGTCAAATTTAAGCAGCAGGATGAAACTGACCTCTTAGAGTGTTCCTTGTTTACATAAACTAAACATTTCAATATAAAAGGGTGTAATTGCATTTACTAACTACACATCATTTCAACGTATCTAACTAAAATATCTGCAATAATATTACTACTTACTTGTACTACTACTTACACTTTTGTTTGTGCTTTATTATTTTTATGAACAGTTTTAGCCCTCTAAAACAGTATCATTACCATAAAGTAACCTTTATTAAGATGACATTCTCTTATTACTGAATGAACATTGTTTCAACACAATGGTGACATTAGAATTTCTAATGGTTTTCTCAATTGTGATAGTGTTTCTCAATTCCAAGAATGCAGAGAATGGACTTGCATTTTTGTGGAGAATGATCCTGCCAAGTTACCTTGGAAGAACAAACTCTGAAGACCACGAGATCTTGCAAAAGCCTTACAAAGACACTTTACACAATACAAATGACACAAATTTTAATTTTAATATGCATATCAACAAATAAACACCCTTAATGTGTTTATGCATTTATCAACAAAAGTTTGGGTGAAAACTGTACTTTCACTGTCTCATTTAGGGAAACTTCTGAGATAAATAATTCATGCCTCTGTGAGTACTGTTATACAGTATGTAGTTATATTGAGCAAGTACTGCCCTCAAGTCTGCAATAAATGCATCATTGAAATCAAAAACAAATCCGGGTACTTTCAAGCGTCCTCCGTTCTTGCGATCTTGATTATGGCGTTACACAAGAACACAAGGATACAAGCATACCTGCCAACATTTGGATCATAAAATCTGGGAGATTTTCCCGTTGGTCCACTTAAAGTGAGACTGTACCAAAAAGCTGATGAAGGGGGGGAAGAGATTTTCAGGATATGGAACAATATAGGAGATGGGTGGGAGGTGGGTCTGAAATACAGGAGATTACCGGGAAAAACAGGAGTGTTGGCAGGTATGGATACAAGTTCACTTAAGAACGCATATTGAGAAATACACATGATCTAAAAACATGTTTTTTGTAACTGAGCGATTCGGATTTATCATTTCTAGTCTGCAAAAAGTTGTTCTTTATGACAACATGTAAATATGACTTGATAGTAATATGTCTTACTCGTTTCTTTCTTCATTTTTTTTTTCTAAATCTGCATTTGCAGACTAACAGCTAAAAATGGGGTGACAGTCTTGAACCAAACTCTGAAGGACCAAACTGTCCAGAGATCAATAGTCCAAGCTCAATACATACATAATCCAGGTAAATACAGAGTAAAACTAAAGCCTTAAAATGTTTCTGGCTTTAAACTAAACATGTTCAGAAATGTTTGCTTTGTGAAGCTGCAAGTTTGTGAAGATCTGGAGTCTCTCAGACCTGCTGTAGAGTCAAAGATTTACAGTCAATCTGAGCTGATGGACTTTTAATTTAAGTGTGTTCAGTGAAAATGTAACTACTTGACTAATAGGCTTTCTAGAGGCTCCACAAGAACACAGATTGTGCATTATCAGTACTTTTATTAAGGGCAATGTTTTAGCACTTTTATATCAAAGCATCACAATAAAGAGTAACCTCACATCCAGTGACCCATTACTAGGTTTAATATTTTGTACTGAATATTGCACCACAACTAAACTCTACTGACATTTTTCATGATTCATTTTGATGCAACAAATTGTCTATTATATTGTTTTAGTGACAGACTATTATGGAACAAAATCAATGCCAAAAGTATTGAAATAAAAAGCTTGTTAAATAACACAACTGAAAAAAGAATACACTGAATTAACAAGTTCTTGCATTAACTTGAATTCCAGGGTTTGTATTTTTAAGTCCTGAAATTTAGATTTTATGAATCTCACACAAAACAGTTTACTTGGAACTGTTAGACACAGAGTGTAATTTCAAATCATTGAACATAACGAGCAAATGCATTGAGGAGCGACTGTCAGTTATTCATACAGAACCGTCTAATATATGGCATAACCAACCGTAAGGGGTCATTAGACTATGAAGTGCTTGCACTGTTTAAATGCAGCTATTGCAGGATTTGGATAGGCTATATATTTTCATTATTCAAATTATTATTATTGTTGTTTTGATTATTAATATTATTATTTTATGGCATTTATTTAGGCTATTGCGCTTAAGTCATCTGTGATTCTGAATTAATATTTCTATTTATCCTTTTTAGCCATCCTTTCTCTTTCAAGCCATCCATTGCCTTTCTCTTCTTCTAATTTTTGGGGTTCAGCCATGGTTAAACGTTTGGAAAATGTCTTTAGTTCGTCCAGATATTGTTTCATTGTTATGTAGCTTATAGGCGAGAAAAAGGTATTAATGCAAAAGTGGCATGTCTCAGCCAAGTATAAGTAATAAAATGGGTAGCCTATGGTTTGATAATAGTCTATCATAACTGACTGAGTCTAATAACTTTTCAGCGACCGTTTGTATTTTATGATAAGCAATGTTAATCTTTTTTTGCAGTTATTAAACATCTAAACTTAAACTGGTTTAAATTTAATATAGTTGTCACTTCAGCTAATTTCATGAGATAATGTTTAGAATGCGTGGTTTGACATAAATTTTTGAGTGGTTCCTGCAAAGCAGCTCAGTGTTCGTCATCATGGGGTTATTACTGAGCTATTATCGCCATAAACTGGCAGAGAATGAATTTACTAATTTATTCTATCAACTCTTTTCTGCAAGTGTGTTTTATGATTTAACAAAGTCCAGCCATTATGTTTTTATTTTATATTTTAAGATGATCATATTTAAATAAACAATTGCTAAGGGTAGTTAATGTTTTCTTTTTTCTTGTTTTTAAAAAAAAAATCTGTATAAAAATCTGCATTTTTGCTTTCTGTGACAAAGTAAATTTTTTAGGATTCTGGATGCATTTTTGCTAAATTAGTGTTGGATATTCATAAGCTCACACAAGTTAAATCACATATATTATTTAAAAAACCATAAATTTTCATCATTCTTTTAACAATTTTACAAGCAAAATTTTGCGCCGACAGCTCGACTTTCGGAAACGGTAAACAGTGAGGTGTTATTCATATAGGCTCAAGCATGAAATATGTCATAATTAATATAATAGTATTAATATAATAATGGCAACACTCTTGTATTCTCATGCTTTGCCATTATGGCCAGGAGTAATGTCATGACTTTCACTTCTCACATTCATAATTATGCACAAGCCCAGATTCATTCATTCATTCATTCATTCATTCATTCATTCATTCATTCATTCATTCGTTTTCTTGTCGGCTTAGTCCCTTTATTAATCCGGGTTCGCCACAGCGGAATGAACCGCCAACTTATCCAGCAAGTTTTTTACGCAGCGGATGCCCTTCCAGCCGCAACCCATCTCTGGAAAACATCCACACACACATTCACATTCACACACACACTCATACACTACGGACAATTTAGCCTACCCAATTCAACTGTACCGCATGTCTTTGGACTGTGGGGGAAACCGAAGCACCCGGAGGAAACCCACACGAATGCAGGGAGAACCTCCCTGTATGAGTGTATGTGTGAACAGGATTGCATTATTAATGTATTATTATAATATTTCCTCCTGTTTCTCTTACGCTTATATTCTTTAGCTGTCAATATAAAACTTTATGTCTATGAAAGAAAGAGTTAATAAAGATAGAGAATGTGTGACATCATAGTTGACAAAAGATGGTTTATGTGAATGTAACCCCACCGGTCCGAGCAGGACACGAGCCAGCGAGGAGGCTAAAGATTGAAGAACAACATTTGTCACTGAATCAGAGGAGTGAGGTTTACGCAATCACCAGCTGGCTTCCGTTCCTTAAGGGCAAATATAAATGACCAAAACTGTCAGGTTTCTGCCACTCTGGTCATGTAAATTCTTGTTTTGGTGGCAGAGTCCGGACACATCTGCCTGTCAAGTCCTGTCTTTTTTTCTTGAAGAGTTTTCTTGGGTTGAGCACTTGTTTCTGTCATTGTGTCTGTCTCAGTGTGTGCGCGCACCGTTGTGGGTGTGCGCAGAGCGTGCGCGCTCCTGCTTAATGCGGCCGCGTGGGCTCTGCGTGCCTCGAACGTGCGCTCTTGTACTCGTGTTTGTGTTTGTTCCCGTCTATTGTCAATTCCCACCCTCCTTGTTAACCCATTATTAGTTAATTATGTTCATCTGTTTAAGTGGTAATTTCCTCCTCCTTATATTCTCCTCATGTCTGCTGTCCTGTGCCAGTTTGTTATCATATGTTTCGTTCTCCTGTTCCTGTAGTGTTTCCAGTTCTGATCCCTGCCAGCCTGTCTAGTCCCGTTTGTGTGTGTATTTATTTGTTTTGTTAATGTTTTCCCCCTCGGGGTAGTTTATTTTGCTGTTTATTTTATTTTTGCTATTAATAAAATCCCATTTAGTTCTGCACTTGAGTTCTCGCCCCTTTCCTCTACACAACCATGACACAAAAATAATTTGCTCATTTTACTCACTCATTTTATCACTTATGATGACCAAAACATGATATTAATATTAAATGCTACTTTTGTGCCTTTATTAGCTTTTTTCTTGCCTATTTACTGGGTTAAAAAACTTAAATTATTCCATCTCCACCCCTGCTGGTGAAAGAGCAGCTGGTGATCTTCAATCTGCAATCTATTGCTTTTCCTGCAGTGCCCAGATGTAATGTTGAATTGAAACAGTCAAATTTGAACCACTGAATTTATGGAAGCGAATATTTGAACTGAAATAAAATGAACTGAAAATTGCCTTTTGAATATTATACATCGTATTTCTAAAGGGTATTGAATATTTTGTAAGTGAAATCTGGAAATTAAATATGAATTGTTGAATTGATAAGTATGAAAACGTGTTTGAAATATTTTTCATTGAAATATTTACAGCTTAAATAAACAGCTAAGTTAAATTTCAGGACTTAAAAATACAAACCCTGGAATTCAAGTCATTAAAATACAAGAACTTAATTCAGTGTATTATATTGTTCAGTTTGTGCTAATCATCAAGCTTTTTAATTCAATACTTTTGGCATTGATTTTGTTTCATAGACTACTGTCTAAATAATTCACTTTTATTCTCCTCATGTCTCACCTCAGTGTCTTCAGTGTACAGTGTGGATCCTGTAGTAAGTCAGTGAGCTCCTTCACTCCTGATTGTCCAGGATCATTTCCTCTGAGATCCAGCTCTATCAGGTGTGAAGGGTTTGATCTCAGAGCTGAAGCCAGAGCTTTATAACCTTCTTCACTTATATTGCAGTCTGAATAACTACAGAAAATAAAACTCAGAAATAAATATAAGACTGTAGTTCATGTTTATACACAAAACTCAAAATCACTAAAAATAAACACATTTTCAGGTAAATTTTAGGCACCATAGGCTCATGTGTATGTTGATTGACTACATTATACTAAAACGTCTAAAAGTCTGAAACAGAAATGATTGAAACAGAATGAATTTTAGAAAATACCTTAATTAAATTAAACTATTAGCAAAGTTTTACTCCAGAAATGAGAGTTGCTAAACACAACTGAATATGAAGAGTTGTTTGGCAAAAACAGGTAGCTACTGTATGTAGTATTTTTAAGAACTATTTTTTTCAGTTGTATTTTTTATTACACAACATAAAAACCTGATATCTAAAAATGACAAAAAAAATTAACCCTCTACCTCACGCATTATGATAAATTTGTAAAAAAAAAAAAAATAATAATAATAAAAAATATATATATATATATATATATATATATATATATATATATATATATATATATATATATATATATATATATATATATATATATATATATATTTTTTTTTTATCACTGTTTTTCTTTTTTTAATTTTGAAGAGCTGTAAGAAAAACTTTAAAAAAAAATCTTTTTAAGGTACTTTATGAAATGTTGCCATATGGCAACAACGTCCAACAGTAGATCTAACTTAAAAACTTCAAATTTAAAACTTTACATATAATTAATATTTTTTTTAGTTTGAAATAATTTAATTGGTGTTGCAGTATTATGAGCTTTAACACAGAACTTATAAATAACACCTTATACACAATTTCCAACAACTCATATTCCAACAGCTTTCATTTTATTCTATTCTTTTTTCTGAATATTATTGAAAACTATCATAATATTGTATTATCATATATACAACATTCAGTATATATAACTATTTTCTACAGTAATTGTTTTACAAATAAATAACAAGTCTAATATATCCAGATGCATGAAAGATTAATGTAGCTACAAGGTAACAATGTTTATATATATTATACAATATACTATACTACGCCTATCTTATCTGAACTGTCTCTATCAAATGCCCAGTCTGCATCCTTCTCATGGTCAACATTATATTACTAGCATTCATGTTGTTATTGTAACAACTGAAAAGTTCACAGCTGACCTTGCTAGCCAGCTAGCCCATTGCAATATTGCATGTTCCACTATTGCACAGTGTTGTCATTTGGCAAAATACACATTTGATCGATTTACAAAAAACTAATTTTTATTTAAAAGAATTTGAGTTGTAAATATGTCATCATAACTTACTGGAGGTGATGTTTCAGATTTTTTTGTGGATCTGACAATTTGATTTTTTTTTTTGTTTTTTTTTGACGTTTACATTTGCATTTAGCAACTACTCACATTAAACACCAGTCTGTCAGAAATCGAGCTACAGAAAAACATTGCATGTCATGTGACTTAACCAAAGCACATCATTGGCTACACTAAGGTCTTCTCTTTCCAACAAAAAAAAAAATTATGTTGGTCTTAAAGAAAAAGTGGCAGGGAAAAGAACATAAGTATCATGTTTCCATATGGTTACGCCATGCAGTAGAGGGTTAATTTATTTGTTTCGGAAATAAAATCTTCACTTCTCAAAAACAAAGATCCAGAAATATTGAATGTATTAGACATCAGCTCACCTGAGTTTCTCCAGTTTACTGTCCTTCAGTCCATCAGAGAGCAGCTTCACTCCTGAATCCTGCAGATTATTATTGCTCAGGTCAAGATCCTTCAGACTGCTGGAGTCTGATCTGAGAACTGAAGCCAGAGCTGAACAGCTTTCCTCTCTTAGATCACACTTACTGAGCCTGAAAATAAACACCAACACTGATTCATTCCAATAATTGAGAGTTAATTAAATTATGTAAGACAATTTGACAACTCACTGGCATATCAAGGAATCAGTTCAAGTCCAATACTCAATCTAAAAATCTTGGTCAGGCACCACATTCTCTGGTCATATAGAACTGCCTTGAGGGCGTTAAACCATAGGAGAACCCATTACAGATAACAGAGAGCCAATTGATTTGCCTATTTTCACCAATACTTTGTCCATAGCTGGGGACCCTTTACAAAATTTGAGCACAATGTAATCAAGCAACAATGGTGTTTTACAAAACTTTTAACAGGAAACCTAATTAATTGCCTCACAAGACTCTTTTCATGACTCCTGGGACATGTGCTCGGACTCCTGGGACATGTGCTCGTCATGTGCTCCATGTGGCTTTACATCTAGTTAGATGTACTACTTTTGTAGAGACAAATGAACTCTGGAATTAATGCCTATGAATGAAAGACAATCACTTAAATTTTACCATTAAGCCAATGATATCTTTGAATACTATGCCATAGCTTTCGTCATATACTATGTGTTTGTTGCAACCAAGTAAATCAATGTGTTTTAAACCCTTGTAGCAGATGAAACCTTCTGTATGCGTCTGAAATGTATGTATGGTACTAAACAATAGCAAGTGACATTTGCAATACTTTGGTGTAAATTAAAAACTAGTAGTACAAACAATAGTCGTCTTATAACATTTGATGCAAGATAGTTATGCAGCAGGGGGGTCCCATCTCTATTGTTTTCAAATGACATCCAGAGACTTTTAATGACCACAGAGAGTCAGGGCCTCAGTTTAATGACACTATAGAGTCCACATCACTATACTGAAACATTAGAACCCACACAGACGGCCAGTTGAGCTTCCCCTGCTGGCCTCATAAACACCTGAACACCAGCAAAAATCAGGTAATAGTCAGGCACAACCCTGCTTAGCTTCAGTGGTGACCATGTGAGAGCTGCAGAGAGCTAGCTGCCGGCAAACAACAAGTTTACTGATGTAAGATACTCACATGAGTGTGTTGAGTTTACAGTGTTTATCCTGCAGTAGAGCAGAGAGTTGATTCACTCGTGTGTCTCCTAGTTTACGACCTCTCAGGTTCAGTTTTGTCAGGAATAACGGGTTTTTACCCACAATTCTAGTCACAAACTGACAGCCTTCATCAGCAGTAGGACTCAAAAACCTGGGAAAAATAAAGCAGGAGTCAGTTCTCAACTTACTGCATTACAAAACATGCTGATTAGACCAGATTGATCTATTTATAACACCTTCACACAAAAAAAGAAAAGAGAAAAACAAAGAAATATCAAATTTAAGCAGCAGGATGAAACTGACCTACTAGAGTGTTCCTTGTTTACATAAATTAAACATTACAATATAAAAGGGTGTAATTACATTTCATCACCTTTGAATTATAAGGTCCTATCTGCGTTCTGAATGATTTTGAGATATTGAGCTTTAAAGTTTTTGCATTCCATAGCAGACAGTATATGTGTAACATTTGTATTTTTTAAATAAAAAGCCTTAATGTAAACAACTTACAAAAAAAAACATCCCAAAATGTAAATAATTTGTCATTTAATAAGAATATGTCAATAACTCAATTTTGACAAAAATGTCAGATAGAACCTTATTATTCTAAGGTGACGATTTACTAACTACACATCATTTTAAAATATCTAACTAAAATATCTGAAATAATTTTACTACTTACTTGTACTACTACTTATGCTTTTGTTTGTGCTTTATTGTTTTTATAAACAGTTTTAGCCCTCTAAACCAGTATCATTACCATAAAATTATTTTCTTTATTAAGATTACGTTCCCTTAATATTGAATGAACATAGTTTCAACACAATGGTGAAATTAGAATTTCTAATGGCTTTCTCGATTTTGGAAGTGTTTCTCATTTCCAAGAGAATGGACTTGCATTTTCGTGGAGAATGATCCTGCCAAGTTACCTTGGAAGAACAAACTCTGAAGACTGCAAGAACTGAAATGCATCCTGTGAGGAATGAGATGCAGCTGTTGGTCACCTGATTTTCACGCATTTTAATGAAATATTGCTTAAATAGCCCATTTATGCATTATAAAGGGTCATATTTTTAAGGGTCTCCAACAACAGGCAGACATGCATGCAAGGTCAAAAAACACATTATCATTTTCTTATGATATGCTTTTTTATTTACCTAATTATCCCAGCGACTCCCATATGAATTGTTCAGTGATTCATTTGTTGCAAAACCCCTCCTTAGCGTGATACTAATCAGCGCTGACTGGTCCGATGACCAGTCTGTTGTTATTGGTCGACTGCGTTCAGCTTGACACAGAGAGAAATGCCCAGCACGACTTATTATCAAGTAGTCAGAGTGCAGAGTGTATGTGTGAACCCAATGTAGGAGTGCATTAAGACAATGCAGTTTAACACCAGCATATTGCTCTATTCTTAACCATAAGTAAAAACAGTTACACACATTCAGTATTAATCCACACAGTGGCAAAAGCTGAACTATAGCACAGCACAAGGCTGGGCTATAATGCTGAGGTATTTTTGCAAAAATAAAATTCAACCACTGACTCTCCATAGCCTCATCTTTGGGTAGGGAAAATAACACTAACTTTTCCTCACACTTCAGAGCACAGCGTCTTCGCGACGTGATTCAGCAGAGATCTGCTACAGTGTCTTCCTCCTTTTCTTTCTACAGTGTTTGTGGGCGGGACCGGGGGTTTAAATTTTCCCTCATTTGCGCATGCAACCAATGGGCGGGGCTTGAGTTCCATATCGACTTCTCGCCAACACAGGTAAAGACTTGTTACAGTGGCGATTCATTTGAAGCACTAAGAGTCCACTGTTTTATAGATGAATCAAGAGTTTTAAACATGATGCACTTTCAGATTTAAGCCTTTAATTTAAGCCTTTAAATTTAAGATGTTTCTTTTCACTTAGAGCTGTGTGATGCACTGCATGAAAGGTCATTTTTGAAAACCCATAACAGGGGCTTTTTTAATATTACAGCATTCATACAACAATTAATTGTTTTATTTCCATTTTAATATTTATATATATATATATATATATATATATATATATATATATATATATATATATATATATATATATATAAAATGCACAAAAGCCTTACAAAGAAATTTTGCACAATACAAATGACACAGATTTTAATGTTAATACGAATATCAGAAAATAAACACCCTTAATGTCTTTATGCATTTATCAACAAAAGTTCTGGTGAAAACTGCACTTTCACTGTCTCATTTAGGGAAACTTCTGAGATAAATAAGCAGTGGTGGATCATACTCAAGTAAAAGTATCATTACATGCCTAAAAATGTAGTGCAAGTAGAGTAAAAGTATCTGTTGTAAATATTACTCAAAGAATGAGTAAAAAGTAGCCCTTTCTAAAGTACTCAAGAGTAGTGAGTATTACGCTGTTAAAGCTGATGTGTTTACATGTAATTTGTGAATGTAAATGTAACATTCTGTAGTGCAATTAGTTATTGTCCAGCAGGCACACAACATCATAACACGTTAATATTAGGATAGATTTAGGTTGTGATGTCAGGTGACCAAAATTCAATGTCTAGTCAGCGTCTAAGGGTAACATTATTTTGATATCCAATAATGACGTCAAATGACGTTGATATTTGTTGGAGATTATCCAACGTAGAGTCAACATCTTAAACCAACATCATATTGATGTAAACTACTGACATTTATTCATCAGAATCATCGGACCCTTTTAATGCCTTCAAACAGTTTGCTGCAATTATAAATGTCTTGAGGTAGCTCATTATGAGGAGATTTGCCTTCTGTGCGCGATTTGATTGGACAGAAATCACAGGACTGATTTTTCGAATACCCATAGACAACAAAAATAAAGTAGTGATTGCAGGTTGAAGGAAAGTAGTGGAGTAAAAGTACCAATTACTGCACTAAAAATGTACTCAAGGAAGAGTAAAGGTACACATTTATAAAACTTATTAAATTACAATTTCTGAGAAAAACCACTCAATTACAGTAATTTGAGTACTTGTAATTAGTTACCTTACACCACTGTAAATAAGTCATGTCTTGACGTTTTAGAGCTGAACTTTGTCGGTTGATTATGGCGTTACACAACTACACAAAGATACAAGATCACTTAAGAACGCATATTGAGAAATACACATGATCTCAAACATGTTTGCAGTCTGCAAAAATTTGTTCTTTATGACAACATGTAACCATGACCTGATAGTAATATGTCTTAAGTCTTTTCTTTCTTCATTTTTGTTTTCTAAATCTGCATTTGCAGACTAACAGCTAAAAATGGGGTGACAGTCTTGAAACAAACTCTGAAGGACCAAACTGTCCAGAGATCAATAGTCCAAGCTCAATACATACATAATCCAGGTAAATACAGAGTAAAACTAAAGCCTTAAAATGTTTCTGGCTTTAAACTAAACATGTTCAGAAATATTTGCTTTGTGAAGCTGCAAGTTTGTGAAGATCTGGAGTCTCTCAGACCTGCTGTAGAGTCAAAGATTTACAGTCAATCTGAGCTGATGGACTTTTAATTTAAGTGTGTTCAGTGAAAATGTAACTACTTGACTAATAGGCTTTCTAGAGGCTCCACAAGAACACAGATTGTGCATTATCAGTACTTTTATTAAGGGCAATGTTTTAGCACTTTTATATCAAAGCATCACAATAAAGAGTAACCTCACATCCAGTGACCCATTACTAGGTTTAATATTTTGTACTGAATATTGCACCACAACTAAACTCTACCGACATTTTTCATGATTCATTTTGATGCAACAAATTGTCTATTATATTGTTTTAGTGACAGACTATTATGGAACAAAATCAATGCCAAAAGTATTGAAATAAAAAGCTTGTTAAATAACACAACTGAAAAAAAGAATACACTGAATTAACAAGTTCTTGCATTAACTTGAATTCCAGGGTTTGTATTTTTAAGTCCTGAAATTTAGATTTTATGAATCTCACACAAAACAGTTTACTTGGAACTGTTAGACACAGAGTGTAATTTAAAATCATTGAACATAACGAGCAAATGCATTGAGGAGCGACTGTCAGTTATTCATACAGAACCGTCTAATATATGGCATAACCAACCGTAAGGGGTCATTAGACTATGAAGTGCTTGCACTGTTTAAATGCAGCTATTGCAGGATTTGGATAGGCTATATATTTTCATTATTCAAATTATTATTATTGTTGTTTTGATTATTAATATTATTATTTTATGGCATTTATTTAGGCTATTGCGCTTAAGTCATCTGTGATTCTGAATTAATATTTCTATTTATCCTTTTTAGCCTTCACTCTGCCTGCCTTTCTCTTCTTCTAATTTTTAGGGTTCAGCCATGGTTAATCGTTTGGAAAATGTCTTTAGTTTGTCCAGATATTGTTTTATTGTTATGTAGCTTATAGTCGAGAAAAAGGTATTAATGCAAAAGTGGCATGTCTCAGCCAAGTATAAGTAATAAAATAAAGTAGCCTGTGGTTTGATAATAGTCTATCATTACTGACTTTAATTTGTTTTTAAGAAATCCCTTATTTGAACAGTTTTTATTGTAGTCTAATAACTTTTCAGCGACCGTTTGTATTTTATGATTAGCAATGTTAATCTTTTTTTGCAGTTATTAAACATCTAAACTTAAATAAACTGGTTTAAATTTAATATAGTTGTCACTTCAGCTAATTTCATGAGATAATGTTTAGAATGCGTGGTTTGACATAAATTTTTGAGTGGTTCCTGCAAAGCAGCTCAGTGTTCGTCATCATGGGGTTATTACTGAGCTATTATCGCCATATACTGGCAGAGAATGAATTTACTAATTTATTCTATCAACTCTTTTCTGCAAGTGTGTTTTATGATTTAACAAAGTCCAGCCATTATGTTTTTATTTTATATTTTAAGATGATCATATTTAAATAAACAATTGCTAAGGGTAGTTAATGTTTTCTTTTTTCTTGTTTTAAAAAAAAAAATCTGTATAAAAATCTGCATTTTTGCTTTCTGTGACAAAGTAAATTTTTTAGGATTCTGGATGCATTTTTGCTAAATTAGTGTTGGATATTGATAAGCTCACACAAGTTAAATCAAATATATTATTTAAAAAGCCATTAATTTTCATCATTCTTTTAACAATCTTTAAACAGTGAGGTGTTATTCATAAAGGCTCAAGCATGAAATATGTCATGATTAATATAATAATATTAATATAATAATGGCAACACTCTTGTATTCTTATGCTTTGCCATTATGGCCAGGAGTAATGTCACGACTTTTACTTCTCACATTCATAATTATGCACAAGCTCAGATTCATTCATTCATTCATTCATTCGTTTTCTTGTCGACTTAGTCCCTTTATTAATCCGTGGCTCTGTGTTTACTTTGCGGTCATGTGCTTGTGTTGTCATGTTGTTAATGAGTTCTTTCATTGGCTGCATGTTCTTGTCCTGTTTTATGTGAGCGCATGGCTTGTGTTGTCTCTGTGTCATGCGCTCTCCCGTCTATTGTCAATTCCCACCCTCCTTGTTAACCCATTATTAGTTAATTATGTTCATCTGTTTAAGTGGTAATTTCCTCCTCCTTATATTCTCCTCATGTCTGCTGTCCTGTGCCAGTTTGTTATTATATGTTTCGTTCTCCTGTTCCTGTAGTGTTTCCAGTTCTGATCCCTGCCAGCCTGTCTAGTCCCGTTTGTGTGTGTATTTATTTGTTTTGTTAATGTTTTCCCCCTCGGGGTAGTTTATTTTGCTGTTTATTTTATTTTTGCTATTAATAAAATCCCATTTAGTTCTGCACTTGAGTTCTCGCCCCTTTCCTCTACACAACCATGACACAAAAATAATTTGCTCATTTTACTCACTCATTTTATCACTTATAATGACCAAAACATGATATTAATATTAAATGCTACTTTTGTGCCTTTATTAGCTTTTTTCTTGCCTATTTACTGGGTTAAAAAACTTAAATTATTCCATCTCCACCCCTGCTGGTGAAAGAGCAGCTGGTGATCTTCAATCTGCAATCTATTGCTTTTCCTGCAGTGCCCAGATGTAATGTTGAAATGAAACAGTCAAATTTGAACCACTGAATTTATGGAAGCGAATATTTGAACTGAAATAAAATGAACTGAAAATTGCCTTTTGAATATTATACATCATATTTGTAAAGGGTATTGAATATTTTGTAAGTGAAATCTGGAAATTAAATATAAATTGTTGAATTGATAAGTATGAAAACGTGTTTGAAATATTTTTCGTTGAAATATTCACAGCTTAAATAAACAGCTAAGTTAAATTTCAGGACTTAAAAATACAAACCTTGGAATGCAAGTCATTAAAATGCAAGAACTTGTTAATTCAGTGTATTATATTGTTCAGTTTGTGCTAACCATCAAGCTTTTTAATTCAATACTTTTGGCATTAATTTTGTTTCATAGACTACTGTCTAAATAATTCACTTTTATTCTCCTCATGTCTCACCTCAGTGTCTTCAGTGTACAGTGTGGATCCTGTAGTAACTCAGTGAGCTCCTTCACTCCTGATTGTCCAGGATCATTTCCTCTGAGATCCAGCTCTATCAGGTGTGAAGGGTTTGATCTCAGAGCTGAAGCCAGAGCTTTATAACCTTCTTCACTTGTATTGCAATCTGAAAGACTAGAGAAAATAAAACTCAGAAATAAATATAAGACTGTAGTTCATGTTTATACACAAAACTCAAAATCACTAAAAATAAACACATTTTTTAGGTAAATTTTAGGCACCATAGGCTCATGTGTATGTTGATTGACTGCATTATACTAAAACATCTAAAAGTCTGAAACAGAAATGATTGAAACAGAATGAATTTTAGAAAATACCTTAATTAAATTAAACTATTAGCAAAGTTTTACTCCAGAAATGAAAGTTGCTAAACACAACTGAATATGAAGAGTTGTTTGGCAAAAACAGGTAGCTACTGTATGTAGTATTTTTAAGAACTATTTTTTTCAGTTGTATTTTTTATTACACAACATAAAAACCTGATATCTAAAAATGACAAAAAAATTAACCCTCTACCTCACGCATTATGATAAATTTGTAAAAACAATATATATATATATATATATATATATATATATATATATATATATATATATGTATATATATATATAAATATATATCACTGTTTTTCTTTTTTTAATTTTAAGGAGCTGTAAAAAAACTTAAAAATCTTTTTAAGGTACTTTATGAAATGTTGCCATATGGCAACAACGTCCAACAGTAGATCTAACTTAAAAACTTCAAATTTAAAACTTTACATATAATTAATAATTTTTTTTAGTTTGAAATAATTTAATTGGTGTTGCAGTATTATGAGCTTTAACACAGAACTTATAAATAACACCTTATACACAATTTCCAACAACTCATATTCCAACAGCTTTCATTTTATTCCATTCTTTTTTGCTGAATATTATTGAAAACTATCATAATATTGTATTATCATATATACAACATTCAGTATATATATATATATATATAACTATTTTCTCCAGTAATTATTTTACAAATAAATAACGGGTGTAATATATCCAGATGCATCAGATTAATGTAGCTACTAGCTAACAATGTTTATATATTATACAATATACTATATTACACCTATCTTATCTGAACTGTCTCTATCAAATGCCCAGTCTGCATCCTTCTCATGGTCACTAAAATCCATCTCATGTATGTTGTCATTTGGCAACATACACATTTGATCGATTTACAAAAAACTAATTTTATTTAAAAGAATTTGAGTTGTAAATATGTCATCATAACTTACTGGAGGTGATGTTTCAGATTTTTTTTGTGGATCTGACATAATTTGATCCTTTGTTTTTATTGACGTTTACATTTGCATTTAGCAACTACTCGCATTAAACATCAGTCTATCAGAAATCGCTCTACAGAAAAACATTGCAAGTCATGTGACTTAACCAAAGCACATCATTGGCTACACTAAGGTCTTCTCTTTCCAACAACAAAAAAATTTTGTTGGTCTTAAAGAAACAGTGGCAGGGAAAAGAACATAAGTATCATGTTTCCATATGGTTACGCCATGCAGTAGAGGGTTAAGTTATTTGTTTCGGAAATAAAATCTTCACTTCTCAAAAACAAAGATCCAGAAATATTGAATGTATTAGACATCAGCTCACCTGAGTTTCTCCAGTTTACTGTCCTTCAGTCCATCAGAGAGCAGCTTCACTCCTGAATCCTGCAGATTATTATTGCTCAGGTCAAGATCCTTCAGACTGCTGGAGTCTGATCTGAGAACTGAAGCCAGAGCTGAACAGCTTTCCTCTGTTAGATCACACTTACTGAGCCTGAAAATAAACACCAACACTTATTCATTTTAATAATTGAGAATTAATAAAATTTTATGTAAGACAATTTGACAACTCAATGGCATATCGAGGAATCAGATCAAGTCCAATACTCAATCTAAAAATCTTGGTCAGGCACCACATTCTCTGGTCATATAGAACTGCCTTGAGGGCGTTAAACCATAGGAGAACCCATTACAGATAACAGAGAGCCAATTGATTTGCCTATTTTCACCCAATACTTTGTCCATAGCTGGGGACCCTTTACAAAATTTGAGCACAATGTAATCAAGCAACAATGGTGTTTTACAAAACTTTAACAGGAAACCTAATTAATTGCCTCACAAGACTCTTTTCATGACTCCTGGGACATGTGCTCGTCATGTGCTCCATGTGGCTTTACATCTAGTTAGATGTACTACTTTTGTAGAGACAAAGGAACTCTGGAATTAATGCATATGAATGAAAGACAATCACTTAAATTTTAACATTAAGCCAATGATATCTTTGAATACTATGCCATAGCTTTCGTCATATACTATGTGTTTGTTGCAACCAAGTTAATCAATGTATTTTAAACCCTTGTAGCAGATGAAACCTTCTGTATGCGTCTGAAATGTATGTATGGTACTAAACAAAAGCAAGAGACATTTGCAATACTTTGGTGTAAATTAAAAACTAGTAGTACAAACAATAGTCGTCTTATAACATTTGATGTAAGATAGTTATGCAGCAGGGGGGTCCCATCTCTATTGTTTTCAAATGACATCCAGAGACTTTTAATGACCACAGAGAGTCAGGACCTCAGTTTAATGTCTCATCCAAAGGACGGTGCTCACTGACACTATAGAGTCCACATCACTATACTAAAACATTAGGACCCACACAGACGACCAGTTGAGCTTCCCCTGCTGGCCTCATAAACACCTGAACACCAGCAAAAATCAGGTAATAGTCAGGCACAACCCTGCTTAGCTTCAGTGGTGACCATGTGAGAGCTGCAGAGAGCTAGCTGCCGGCAAACAACAAGTAGACTGATGTAAGATACTCACATGAGTGTGTTAATCTGACAGTGTTTATCCTGCAGTAGAGCAGAGAGTTGATTCAGTCCTGTGTCTACTTGTTCAACATTACTCAGGTTCAGTTCTTTCAGGAGTAACGGGTTTTTACCCACAATTCCAGTCACAAACTGACAGCCTTCTTCAGCAGTAGGACTCAAAAACCTGAAGAAGAGGAGATCAAGCAGGAGTCAGTTCTCAACTACTTTCACTGTTTATTGCTGCATTACAAAACATGCTGATAAGAAAAGATTAATCCATTTATGACAACTTCACAAAAAAAAAAGTCAAATTTAAGCAGCAGGATGAAACTGACCTCTTAGAGTGTTCCTTGTTTACATAAACTAAACATTTCAATATAAAAGGGTGTAATTGCATTTACTAACTACACATCATTTCAACGTATCTAACTAAAATATCTGCAATAATATTACTACTTACTTGTACTACTACTTACACTTTTGTTTGTGCTTTATTATTTTTATGAACAGTTTTAGCCCTCTAAAACAGTATCATTACCATAAAGTAACCTTTATTAAGATGACATTCTCTTATTACTGAATGAACAAGTCTGCAATAAATGCATCATTGAAATCAAAAACAAATCCGGGTACTTTCAAGCGTCCTCCGTTCTTGCGATCTTGATTATGGCGTTACACAAGAACATAAGGATACAAGCATACCTGCCAACATTTGGATCATAAAATCTGGGAGATTTTCCCGTTGGTCCACTTAAAGTGAGACTGTACCAAAAAGCTGATGAAGGGGGGGAAGAGATTTTCAGGATATGGAACAATATAGGAGATGGGTGGGAGGTGGGTGTGAAATACAGGAGATTACCGGGAAAAACAGGAGTGTTGGCAGGTATGGGTACAAGTTCACTTAAGAACGCATATTGAGAAATACACATGATCTAAAAACATGTTTTTTGTAACTGAGCGATTCGGATTTATCATTTCTAGTCTGCAAAATGTTGTTCTTTATGACAACATGTAAATATGACCTGATAGTAATATGTCTTACTCGTTTCTTTCTTCATTTTTTTTTTCTAAATCTGCATTTGCAGACTAACAGCTAAAAATGGGGTGACAGTCTTGAACCAAACTCTGAAGGACCAAACTGTCCAGAGATCAATAGTCCAAGCTCAATACATACATAATCCAGGTAAATACAGAGTAAAACTAAAGCCTTAAAATGTTTCTGGCTTTAAACTAAACATGTTCAGAAATGTTTGCTTTGTGAAGCTGCAAGTTTGTGAAGATCTGGAGTCTCTCAGACCTGCTGTAGAGTCAAAGATTTACAGTCAATCTGAGCTGATGGACTTTTAATTTAAGTGTGTTCAGTGAAAATGTAACTACTTGACTAATAGGCTTTCTAGAGGCTCCACAAGAACACAGATTGTGCATTATCAGTACTTTTATTAAGGGCAATGTTTTAGCACTTTTATATCAAAGCATCACAATAAAGAGTAACCTCACATCCAGTGACCCATTACTAGGTTTAATATTTTGTACTGAATATTGCACCACAACTAAACTCTACTGACATTTGTCATGATTCATTTTGATGCAACAAATTGTCTATTATATTGTTTTAGTGACAGACTATTATGGAACAAAATCAATGCCAAAAGTATTGAAATAAAATGCTTGTTAAATAACACAACTGAAAAAAGAATACACTGAATTAACAAGTTCTTGCATTAACTTGAATTCCAGGGTTTGTATTTTTAAGTCCTGAAATTTAGATTTTATGAATCTCACACAAAACAGTTTACTTGGAACTGTTAGACACAGAGTGTAATTTCAAATCATTGAACATAACGAGCAAATGCATTAAGGAGCGACTGTCAGTTATTCATACAGAACCTTCTAATATATGGCATAACCAACCGTAAGGGGTCATTAGACTATGAAGTGCTTGCACTGTTTAAATGCAGCTATGGCAGGATTTGGATAGGCTATATATTTTCATTATTCAAATTATTATTATTGTTGTTTTGATTATTAATATTATTATTTTATGGCATTTATTTAGGCTATTGCGCTTAAGTCATCTGTGATTCTGAATTAATATTTCTATTTATCCTTTTTAGCCTTCACTCTGCCTGCCTTTCTCTTCTTCTAATTTTTGGGGTTCAGCCATGGTTAAACGTTTGGAAAATGTCTTTAGTTCGTCCAGATATTGTTTTATTGTTATGTAGCTTATAGGCGAGAAAAAGGTATTAACGCAAAAGTGGCATGTCTCAGCCAATTATAAGTAATAAAATGGGTAGCCTATGGTTTGATAATAGTCTACCATAACTGACTGAGTCTAATAACTTTTCAGCGACCGTTTGTATTTTATTAATATTAATATTGATATTAATATGATATTAATATTAAATGCTACTTTTGTGCCTTTATTAGCTTTTTTCTTGCCTATTTACTGGGTTAAAAAACTTAAATTATTCCATCTCCACCCCTGCTGGTGAAAGAGCAGCTGGTGATCTTCAATCTGCAATCTATTGCTTTTCCTGCAGTGCCCAGATGTAATGTTGAATTGAAACAGTCAAATTTGAACCATTGAATTTATGGAAGCGAATATTTGAACTGAAATAAAATGAACTGAAAATTGCCTTTTGAATATTATACATCATATTTGTAAAGGGTATTGAATATTTTGTAAGTGAAATCTGGAAATTAAATATGAATTGTTGAATTGATAAGTATGAAAACGTGTTTGAAATATTTTTCGTTGAAATATTCACAGCTTAAATAAACAGCTAAGTTAAATTTCAGGACTTAAAAATACAAACCTTGGAATGCAAGTCATTAAAATGCAAGAACTTGTTAATTCAGTGTATTATATTGTTCAGTTTGTGCTAACCATCAAGCTTTTTAATTCAATACTTTTGGCATTAATTTTGTTTCATAGACTACTGTCTAAATAATTCACTTTTATTCTCCTCATGTCTCACCTCAGTTTCTTCAGTGTACAGTGTGGATCCTGTAGTAAGTCAGTGAGCTCCTTCACTCCTGATTGTCCAGGATCATTTCCTCTGAGATCCAGCTCTATCAGGTGTGAAGGGTTTGATCTCAGAGCTGAAGCCAGAGCTTTATAACCTTCTTCACTTATATTGCAGTCTGAATAACTACAGAAAATAAAACTCAGAAATAAATATAAGACTGTAGTTCATGTTTATACACAAAACTCAAAATCACTAAAAATAAACACATTTTTAGGTAAATTTTAGGCACCATAGGCTCATGTGTATGTTGATTGACTGCATTATACTAAAACATCTAAAAGTCTGAAACAGAAATGATTGAAACAGAATGAATTTTAGAAAATACCTTAATTAAATTAAACTATTAGCAAAGTTTTACTCCAGAAATGAAAGTTGCTAAACACAACTGAATATGAAGAGTTGTTTGGCAAAAACAGGTAGCTACTGTATGTAGTATTTTTAAGAACTATTTTTTTCAGTTGTATTTTTTATTACACAACATAAAAACCTGATATCTAAAAATGACAAAAAAATTAACCCTCTACCTCACGCATTATGAGAAATTTGTAGGAAAAAAATGTAGATATATATATATATATCACTGTTTTTCTTTTTTTAATCTTGAAGAGCTGTAAGAAAAACTTAAAAAAAAAATCTTTAAGGTACTTTATGAAATGTTGCCATATGGCAACAACGTCCAACAGTAGATCTAACTTAAAAACTTCAAATTTAAAACTTTACATATAATTAATAATTTTTTTAGTTTGAAATAATTTAATTGCTGTTGCAGTATTATGAGCTTTAACAAAGAACTTATAAATAACACCTTATACACAATTTCCAACAACTCATATTCCAACAGCTTTCATTTTATTCCATTCTTTTTTGCTGAATATTATTGAAAACTGTCATAATATTGTATTATCATATATACAACATTCAGTATATATATATATATATAACTATTTTCTCCAGTAATTGTTTTACAAATAAATAACAAGTCTAATATATCCAGATGCATCAGATTAATGTAGCTACTAGCTAACAATGTTTATATATTATACAATATACTATATTACACCTATCTTATCTGAACTGTCTCTATCAAATGCCCAGTCTGCATCCTTCTCATGGTCACTAAAATCGATCTCATCCTCATTTTCATCTACAGGAAGAGCCAGTTCCTTTTCTTCTTTCACTTACCATAGGACAAGGTGGTGCTCACTAATACACTGTTTCCTGTATTTATATCTATTCAAAAGTAGTATTGCCATCAAAACTATATTATCCATAATGCAAATGGCATTAACACATGACCAATCAACATTATATTACTAGCATTCATGTTGTTATTGTTAAAACTTAAAAGTTCACAGCTGACCTTGCTAGCCAGCTAGCCCATTGCAATATTGCATGTTCCACTACTGCACAGTGTTGTCATTTGGCAAAATACACATTTGATCGATTTACAAAAACTAATTTTATTTAAAAGAATTTGAGTTGTAAATATGTCATCATAACTTACTGGAGGTGATGTTTCAGATTTTTTGTGGATCTGACATAATTTGATCCTTTGTTTTTTTTTTGACGTTTACATTTGCATTTAGCAACTACTCACATTAAACATCAGTCTATCAGAAATCGCTCTACAGAAAAACATTGCATGTCATGTGACTTAACCAAAGCACATCATTGGCTACACTAAGGTCTTCTCTTTCCGACAAAAAAATAAAAATTTTGTTGGTCTTAAAGAAACAGTGGCAGGGAAAAGAACATAAGTATCATGTTTCCATATGGTTACGCCATGCAGTAGAGGGTTAATTTATTTGTTTCGGGAATAAAATCTTCACTTCTCAAAAACAAAGATCCAGAAATATTGAATGTATTAGACATCAGCTCACCTGAGTTTCTCCAGTTTACTGTCCTTCAGTCCATCAGAGAGCAGCTTCACTCCTGAATCCTGCAGATTATTATTGCTCAGGTCAAGATCCTTCAGACTGCTGGAGTCTGATCTGAGAACTGAAGCCAGAGCTGAACAGCTTTTCTCTGTTAGATCACACTTAATGAGCCTGAAAATAAACACCAACACTGATTCATTCCAATAATTGAGAGTTAATTAAATTTTATGTAAGACAATTTGACAACTCACTGGCATATCGAGGAATCAGATCAAGTCCAATACTCAATCTAAAAATCTTGGTCAGGCACCACATTCTCTGGTCATATAGAACTGCCTCGAGGGCATTAACCCATAGGAGAACCCATTACAGATAACAGAGAGCCAATTGATTTGCCTATTTTCACCAATACTTTGTCCATAGCTGGGGACCCTTTACAAAATTTGAGCACAATGTAATCAACCAACAATGGGGCTTTACAAAACTTTTAACAGGAAACCTAATTAATTGCCTCACAAGACTCTTTTCATGACTCCTGGGACATGTGCTCGTCATGTGCTCCATATGGCTTTACATCTAGTAGGATGTACTACTTTTGTAGAGACAAAGGTACCCTGGAATTAGCTTCATTAACACCTCAACATCAGCAATAATCAGTTAATAGTCAGGCACAACCCTGCTTAGCTTCAGTGGTGACCATGTGAGAGCTGCAGAGAGCTAGCTGCCGTCAAACAACAAGTTTACTGATGTAATAGCCTGTTTCCACTGAGTGGTACGGTATGGTTCGATTCGGTATGCTTTTATGGCCGTTTCCACTGTCAAAACGCATACTGAACTGAACCATACCGTACTACTTTTTCAGCACCCTTTCGAAAGGCTACCAAAAACGAGAAATGGTACCAAAAGACGGAGCTAGACGCACAGCTGAACGCTATAGGTTTACCAAGATACGTCATTCGCTTACGCAACAAGCCAGAATGTAAACAAAAGAGCCACCATGTTTAAAATACACACACAGCCGAGAGATTACAGAGGAATTATATATACATATAATAACGTGGGCTATATATAGTGTTGTTTTTGAACATAAACAAATAAGTCTGCTGTGTGTAGTTCTTCTGTAGTAGGTAACATGTCGGAGACTGTAAGGGGCTGTATGTGTTCAAATATGTTGCATTTATTTATTTTATTTTATTACAGACGTTATAGTAGGCCATTTCACACTGTCATTAATCTGCAGTTATAATCAACTCATGTTAATAGAAATGTTAGTAATAAACATTTATACACATGTATTTATGTGTATAAAGCATCTGTTTTGTGAGAAGTGCTTCTCATATGATATGTGAGCGACCCATATGGCAGACATTTTCTCCAGCGAGAATGACATCAACTGAAACTTTCTGTCATACACTACGCCCACCAAAAGGGTACCCTTGGTAGTGGAAACGCAAGCTTGATAAAGGTGACCCTTACCGACCCGAACCGTACAATACCAGTCAGTGGAAACGAGCCATAAAATACTCACATGAGTGTGTTGAGTCTACAGTGTTTGTCCTGCAGTAGAGCAGAGAGTTGATTCACTCGTGTGTCTCCTAGTTTACGATCACTCAGATTCAGTTCTATCACGAGTAACAGGTTTTTACCCACAATTCCAGTCACAAACTGACAGCCTTCATCAGCAGCAGGACTCAAAAACCTGAAGAAGAGAAGATCAAGCAGGAGTCAGTTCTCAACTACTGTCACTGTTTACTGCAATACAACACATGCAAAAAAAAACATTTGCTAGAAGACAAGATTAATCTATTTATGACACCTTGACAAAAAAAAAATATATATATATATGTCAAAGTTGAGCTGCAGGATTAAACTGACTTCCTAAAGTGTTCCTTGTTTACATACACTTAACATTTCAATATTCAGTCATTCATTTTCTCATCGGCTTAGTCCCTTTATTAATCCGGGGTCGCCACAACGGAGTAAACCAGCACATGTTTTTATGCAGCGGATGCCCTTCCAGCTGCAACCCATTGCTGGGAAACATCCATACACACTGATTTCCATTCATACACTACGGACAATTTAGCCTACCCCATTCACCTGTACGGCATGTTATTGGACTGTGGGAGAAACAGGAGCACCCGGAGGAAAAACAAGCGAACGAGTGAAGAACATGCAAACTCCACAAAGAAATGACAACTGACCCAGCCGAGGCTTCAACCAGCAACTTTTTTGCTGTGAGGCGACAGCACTACCTACTGCGCCATTGCGTCACCCTCATTTCAATATGAAAGGGTGTAATTGCATTCACTAACTACACATCATTTCAAAATATCTACTAAAATATCTAAAATAATATTACTTCTTACTAGTACTACTACTTACGTTTCGGCTTTATTATTTTTATAAACAGTTTTAGCCCTCTAAATCAGTATCATTACCATAAAGTAACCTTTATTAAGATAACATTCTCTTATTACTGAATGAACATTGTTTCAACACAATGGCAACGTACAGTAGTGTAGTCCTCAAAAAAAAAGATGGTGTAATATTACCCACCCCACCCACATTTTAAAGGTAGGCAAAGAAATGATGGAAGTCAATGATTAAAAAAGTTAACGTAATTAATCACACTTTTTTTTGTAATTAATCATGATTAATCACGAAACGTCATATTTATTACAGAAATAAAAACACAGGCATGTAAGTGCTATTTTAATTTCAAATCAATTAATGCCAATAACAAACAAAAAATATTTCCATGTAGGATTCCAAGTGGACTACAAACACACACACACACACACACACACACACACACACACACACACACACACACACACACAACGCACGCAGTACAGCGCACCCGGTAAGCGAGAGATCCCTTCAGGTTCATCAACACGCACGATCGCGTTCATCAATTTTGCTTAAACTGAACCTTCCAAAATATGGCTGTATTGTACAAGAAAGGATTCTGACACAGCAATGTGAAGCAAATGTTTTACAAAAGTTGCGTGTAGGGAGGAAAAATGAAAAATGAAATGTGCAGGCTCATGGAAGCAGCTTAAAGGCAGATAATAGGGCCGTCTTTGAAAGCTTGTGACTTCATCTGCCATTTTCACTGAGTACATTTACATGGACACCAATACTCTGCTTTTATGATTAAGATAATACTGATTAGGAGTCTACCATGTAAGCAGCGATTTTTGATTATGGTACTTTAAAAGATCACGCGAGTCCCGAAATGCGAAGGTTTTTCTTTCCGTTCACTATGCGGTATCAAATTCCACTAAAACATCCTGAATGAAAATATGCTGAATGAGAGTGAACTGCTGAACTGCAGTTGAAGTCTAAAGATTAAAAATAAAACACCCGAAATTGCATGAAACTCTGGAGGAAACACAGAATTGCCTGGTGATGTGACATTAATTTTTTATACTGAAACTTTTCTTCTAAAAGCGCGTCCTTGGTCTTATCCAAATTTCTTTGCACGTTAAACACGGAGCAAGCTGAACTGGCGCTCTAGGCAATTAGCAATTTTGCCGCCCTCAACCCAAAAATAAAAAAGAAAGTAACCTTTCTGCTAATGAAAGCGAGGACCATGAATGAGGGGGTGGGTGTAGCGGATGAAAGTGAGGACCGGGGGTTCGCTCATTATTCTGCTGCCCAAGGCAGCCGCCTAGGTCGCCTCTATGGATGCGAAGACCCTGAACACACATCGGCCACAACAGGAAATAAAAAAAACTGCAACTGCGTTATTTGTATTATTATTATTTTTTTTACACGTTACATATTTCAAATTAATCACGTGCATTAATTACCTGGAACTAGGGCTGTGCGATTTGGGGAAAATTGTAATTGCTAATTTTTTTTGACAGATATTGTGATTGTGATTTGATTTGCGATTTAATTTTGTTGTCAAAATTCAGCTCAATAATCTGTATCATAGCTTCTTACTGCTAAAATGCAGTGAGTGTTAGTTAAAAAGTATATTAAGTATAAAAAATTTATTAAGTTACTCCAACATTTATTCAAATTTGTATTTAAACATTCAGAAATTAAACTTATTTTTCTCTTGAGCAAATAGTAAGCACAAATAAAATTACCTTGGCTTTCTGTAAAGGAGTTTAACTCAAATTAGGGAGATGATGTATATAATGTTTATAATACAAACAAAAAATAATAATTATACAAAAACAGAACACTCATCAAACTAAAAAGTTCGTTCAGTCAATTGGCTAGTATTACTATCACACACAGACTGCATTTGCAAGTTTCGTTTTTTAGGTGAACAATCCATTAAGAAAAAATAATTATTTTAAAGTGAGATGCTAATAGTCTAATAATATTCAGTAATTTATGCTTAGCTAATAGTGCCCCCAGCAGACCTTAAGTATGGCTGAATATATTAAGCTGTGGTAAAACCCGATATATATACACACATACATACTGTACAAAAAATCTCATTTCAAGACAGCTATATCAAGCATTGTATGTTGTCAAACTGTAAATTTAATAAATAACTTTCACAAAAGCCTTACAAAAACACTTTGCACAACACAAATGACACAGATTTTAATGCGAGAAACAATGCCAACAGCTCCAGGCAGTTGTAATGCAACTGAGCTCTGGTTTATGAACCTGCAGCAGCATGCTCGAAATACACAGCCCGAAGGCAAGATCCATCCAGGGGCTGAAGGTGCGGAGACACAGCCTGGTCACTTAAAGCCGGTGCATCTCCGCGTGCCATGCCCATCTGAGGACCCGATCGCGAAGCCAGCGCTGAATTGATCTCATATAAACAATTGAGTGGCGTGATAGCAGCTACAAATGTCATATGCCCCAGGAGCCTCTAAATAATTTCAGTGAGACCACTATAACTACTATATAATCTGACAGGGCAGCGCCAGTGCGCTAAAATGCTAGACAGTGCACTAGTCCAGCTCCAACCAGAGATGAGAGAAGCTCTGCCCAGAGAGAGCACACTCATACTCAGCTGACCCGAACCCGAACCTGGCCAGTATGGACGGGTCTGATGGAGAGAGTAGTTTTCCGAGCCCATCAAGAGATGACCTTCTCCATCGCGCATGGCTGATCTCTCACCACCAAGAACTTCTTTAAAAAGTCCCTGACGGTGTTGCCGAGGAGGCCTACCTGGGATATGGGCGCACTAAGAAAGCAAACTTTTGAGCGGCGCTGTTACGACTGAAGTTTATTTATTTTTTTATTATTGCGGATTGTACACCTTTTTCTTTTGTCCCGCCTCCTTGCTGTTTTTCTGATGTCTTATAGGCTACCACGCCGGCGTGATTCCCTGCTCTGATTGGCTGCTGGTCTACGAGGCCTGTATAAAACGGAGCTTCCGGCAGGAATCGGGGAGCTCATTTCTGCTGCGTTCGGTGTTTGGAGTGGAGCTCCTGGGTTTCCCTCACCCCTTCGGCCGACGACCAACAATTATCACCTTTGTATTGATGACCATCCTATGCTTGAATATTTATTGAGAGTTTGAGCGTGTAGGGGTGACCTGCCTATTTATTTGATTACTTTTGACTTTGTTTATATTAGGGAGTCAGGTAAGATTCTTGTATGTTTCTTTAAATAGTAATAGGTAATTTAGTGGATTTATTTTATAGATTCTTTTGTTTGTTATTTTGGCCTGTGGTCACCCTGACGAAATGCTCGTTTATATAAACCCTATTTTTCTATAATAAATATCTTCATATATACTCTCAATTGAGTGTGTGAGTTTGGTTGTCGACCGAAGGGAATCTTTTGCTTTAAGTTTTGTTTAGTTTGGGAAATCCACCACCCCAACACATTTGTTTGTTCTTCGTTTATTATGCCCTTTTCGTTTCCCCTAGACATGGGGCGTAATAATTGGGGGCTCGTCCGTTTTTTTCCTCATCCAAATTTAGTTTAATTTGATCTGTTTATTCGTTTAAATTTCGCGTCCGGAGAGAAATCTTGTGACATTGCTGGTGAGTACCATTTATATATTCTCTATTTTTGGTGACTGGAAATTTGATCTTGTGCTGTGGGGAAAGGTTAAGATTATGGAGTTCAGCATAGAAGCGTTTAAACAAGCTCCTTCGTGGGAACTTTTGGAGTCATGCCGTAAGGTTGATTTATTTTTAGTGGCTGATTTCTATGATATCTCCGTGGTAAAAACTGCTAAGAAAAAAGAAGTGCGAGATTTAATTTATGATTCGTTGGTGCAGCAAGGCGTTTTACAGCCTCGGCCTGCTGGAGCAGCGCAAAAAGACGCCGGTGCTGATAGCCACGCGACAGATGATTCTATGTTGCATTCGCCAAGTGGAACAAATTTAGATGATTTAAAATTGGCTATTCAGTTGAAACAATTAGATCTCGAAATTAAGCGTCAAGAACATACTACTCAGCTTCTACGTTTTAGGCAATGCGAGTTAGAAACGCAAGCTGACCGTCGTTCACCAGTCTTGCCTCCTAAATTGTCTCCTATACCTACTGTTTCACCATCAGCTTCACTTGCTGTTAATTCTAATCCAACCCCGGTTAATTTGTTGCCTGTGTCCTCTAATAATTATGCTGACTTTGACATCAGTCGTCATATTACGCTCGTACCCCCATTTTGGGATAACGAAGTGGATTCATATTTCGGCGCTTTCAAGCGAATAGCTGCGGCGTTGCGCTGGCCGAAAGAGACTTGGTCTCTTTTGATTCAGT